GGGCCCGACAAACCTGTGCTTGACAGGGCAGGTATCCAGGGGCTAGTCAAACCTGTGCTTGACAGGGCAGGTATCCAGGTCCCCGAGACATCATGGCTGCCATCAGCTAGGTCAAGGACTGTCACCACCTGATCTTCCGTGGCGGTGGGATAGCCTAGTGGTAAAAGCGGTCGCGTTCTCATCACGCCATTTGCATGGGTTCAATGTGTGAAGCCAATTTTTGTTGTTCCCTGTCGTGATATTGCTGGAATATTGCTTAAAAGCGGTATACTACAAATCTCACTCACTCACTCACCCACACACCCATTCACTCACCCAACTACCCATTCACTCACTCACTCACTCACCCACCCATTCACCCATCCATCCACCCACCCACCCACCCATTTACCCACCCACTCACTCACTCACTCACTCACTCACTCAGCTCAGCTCAGCTCAGCTCAGCTCAGCTCAGCTCAGCTCAGCTCAGCTCAGCTCTTGCGCCAGCACGGGATATTGGGGACAAATTCTGCTCCGGCCGGAAATTCTCATGTGAGTTTCCCCCAACGTGATATTTCTGGAATATTGCTTAAAGCGGCTTAAAATCATACTCACTCATGTGAGTTTCGGCCTCTCTACAAAAGAATTTAGTGATAACATCGGTTTTGTTGAGTTGCTTCCCTTTAACACGCCAAGATCCGCTGATATTGGGTTCGAACCCCGAGATTCGTCATGATCATAATCATTTGTTTATCAGCGCCATACCCGTGCGAGCACGTTCCTGCAAGTGGCAAACGTTTACAATATTTAGTCCACTTGGTTATTCCAAGCTACCACGCTACCCAATCATGGGCATGATGTTCTCGTTCACGCCATGGACGGTTCAGTTGAAAGAGTGCCTCGTGCTAGGGTTGCCAGGCCCACATCCCGCCCACCTGCACACCTGTCACATTACATCACATGAAGCCTTCTGTCTGGTCCGACATGCAGACACACAATGTTATCATGATCACACTTATATCATTTACCTGTCAGACAGGTACAGTGATACTATGACAACGTAGTTACCTTGAGATTAATATCTTGGCAAAACCGCGTGTTACAAGTATTTCATTCTTTCAATAACTTCACCCTGTAAATTGTGGCTTGAATCCCGGTTCGCCCCGATTATGTTTCTAGGTTTGTCAGACCCAAACCCATGCTCGTGGGTTTCACCAAAGTGGTAAACGTCTGAGACCTGCATCACTTCGGGCTTTCCTCCCACATTAAGCTGACACGCCGTGGTTTTACTGGAATAATGTTAAAAGCGGCGTTAAACCCAACTCACTCACTCACTCCAAAGTAATGAGTTGGTTAAGATTTCCAGAGCGTAAATAAAAATCCAACTTACTCTTGCATGAGATAACCATAAGGTTTAATCACCCTGTAAATAATGTCAAGGGATTAAATATATATCAGGAATCTTACACAAAGGTTCCGTTTAGAGCGTAAATAAAAATCCAACTTACTCTTGCATGAGATAGCCATAAGGTTTAATCACCCTGTAAATAATGTCAAGGGATTAAATATATATCAGGAATCTTACACAAAGGTTCCGTTTAGAGCGTAAATAAAAATCCAACTTACTCTTGCATGAGATAGCCATAAGGTTTAATCACCCTGTAAATAATGTCAAGGGATTAAATATATATCAGAAATCTTACACAAAGGTTCCGTTTAGAGCGTAAATAAAAATCCAACTTACTCTTGCATGAGATAGCCATAAGGTTTAATCACCCTGTAAATAATGTCAAGGGATTAAATATATATCAGAAATCTTACACAAAGGTTCCGTTTAGAGCGTAAATAAAAATCCAACTTACTCTTGCATGAGATAGCCATAAGGTTTAATCACCCTGTAAATAATGTCAAGGGATTAAATATATATCAGAAATCTTACACAAAGGTTCCGTTTAGAGCGTAAATAAAAATCCAACTTACTCTTGCATGAGATAGCCATAAGGTTTAATCACCCTGTAAATAATGTCAAGGGATTAAATATATATCAGAAATCTTACACAAAGGTTTCGTTTAGAGCGTAAATAAAAATCCAACTTACTCTTGCATGAGATAACCATAAGGTTTAATCACCCTGTAAATAATGTCAAGGGATTAAATATATATCAGAAATCTTACACAAAGGTTCCGTTTAGAGCGTAAATAAAAATCCAACTTACTCTTGCATGAGATAACCATAAGGTTTAATCACCCTGTAAATAATGTCAAGGGATTAAATATATATCAGAAATCTTACACAAAGGTTCCGTTTAGAGTGTAAATAAAAATCCAACTTACTCTTGCATGAGATAGCCATAAGGTTTAATCACCCTGTAAATAATGTCAAGGGATTAAATATATATCAGAAATCTTACACAAAGGTTCCGTTTAGAGCGTAAATAAAAATCCAACTTACTCTTGCATGAGATAGCCATAAGGTTTAATCACCCTGTAAATAATGTCAAGGGATTAAATATATATCAGAAATCTTACACAAAGGTTCCGTTGACTTTGTTTTGAAGAAGCTGGGTATCAGTGTTGAAGAAAATTATTTTGATATTTGCACGAGGTAATCACGAGGTCAGTTGGGACATATAATGTCACTCGCCGTGGGGGGTCATTCACACGACGTAGCTTAATAATGCCAGCGTCAGGCTTTGTGAGATACTCTGCCGTGCTTTACAATCGGTCTGTTTATGCCGGGTGTTATACTCGTTATGTGTATCTGAATATGTGTGTGGCAAAGCTGCTCATTGTGCGAGTTAACCAACGTACAAAATGCACGTCGCTTTGTACTTGGCCAGTCATCTATATCCTCCATTATCTGCAAACAACCGTTATATTCCGCGTGTTTAACTTCGGTGTGTCTTAATGTCATCCGCTTCTACCAATTCGCTATGCATAGTTGCGTCCTTCGGGTACGCCAGAAACCTGTGATCGTGGGTTCGAATCCCGGTTCGCCCTGACTGTTTCAAGGTTTGCCAGCACCACACCTGTGCTCGTGGGTTTCGCTATAGTGTTATACGATTGAGACCTGCATCACTTTTGGCTTTTCTCCCACATTAAGCTGACACGCCGTGATATAACTTCAAGTTGAAAACTGCTAAAAGCGGCGTTAAACTAAACTCACTCATTAACCAATATAATTCACTCGCTTGTCTCGAACTAGGGATAACTCGATATATGTTCGAGACAAGGGGTTTCACTCGACAGAAGCCTGTATTTGTACATGTATGAACGAGGGTACCATCCCCCTTTTGGAACGCTGGATGCTGAGCCTTGTTAAGTGGCTAGTACTATAAAAAACGACATTAGTCCGGACAACTACAAGCAGCCACGCGCACGCACACACACACACACACACACACACACACACACACACACACACACACACACAAACACACACACACACACACACACACACATGCATGCATGCACGTCGCTATATGACTGCGACACTTTTGACTGCGGCGTTAAACACCATTCCACTTTAACCAGACCCCACCCTAAAGTAGTGAGGGAAATAAAAAGAAACAGTTCGCACAATAAACGAAATAGCTTTTGACACCATGACGCAGCTCAATTACGTATCATGAAACATGCCTCTACATAAGATATTTCTATAACTTGTTTTGAAATCATCACATACTCCCTACACAATTCAAATGAATGGTAACATACAAATCCCAGCCGGTGAACACGTGGTTCTGCAATCTGTCCTTTGTGCAAAAATACACAATGTATACAAATTATTTGGCAAAAAAAAGTCCAAGGTGGGTCCTATTGTGAGTTATGGCAACTTATATGAGAGAACTTGCAAGGCCCTTAATTTGCCTTGTAAACAGGTGCATGACACGGTCAGTTAAAGCTAAAGGACCGCCATGATACAAAGCAGAAAACGGGTATGCATAACCAGGTAGGTTTGAAAAAAGGGGTTATAAGAAGGGCAGAAGTCTACACAAAGGTAAACGTCCTCTAGCTGGGAACACGATTCAGGCCGAAATTAAAGGTTCTATTGATATCTCCAACACTGTACCCGTACTCCAAGGAACTGGGGTTCAAATGCACCAAGCGCGGTGACGATCGAGGGAAGTTTAGGGGAAAGTATTCCACCTAACTATGAGCTCAGTCTATAAGTGCTTCCACTTTGAAATAGAATGTTATCCCCTACTCTCACCCCAAGCAATGTAAAATAAAGACAAAATGTTAAAATGTTTATGTTTCCACGTCTTCGTGTATCGCCAAGACGCATATTGCTTCACGGAATAATGTATGTTTCCAGAAGATTCATCAAGTTATTTATAGTCTATGAAAATGTACGTCTTTGTCGTAATTATAACAAGCCATGTATGTCTGTCGTATTACAAGGCTGATTAACGTAATTCAGCTTAGAACTGCTGTGAAGTTCCTCAACACTTTTATTTACAAATAGTTATAATTGTATTTTGGTATATTAGGTTTGTTTGTTTCTTGATTAACGCCGCACACAGCAATATTCCAGCTATATAACGGCGATCCTGACCACCAGTTAGTCGCCTCTTACGACAAGCATGTGTTGCTGAATATTTATTCTAACCAGAAAATCAAATAGAAAGTAGTGCAGCTGTTTACAAACGTTTAGGTTAAATTTAAGGTAAATCATGTGCAAGAAACTCAAAGTTAATATTTTTGTAAAACAGTCTTAATTAGACACCCTACAAATCCAGTATCTAACTCAAATTCTTCGGTTTTAGGCACTCGCGTATTATGATATATTCGATATAACCAAAATCTTGTTTAAAGCGACATACACCCAACTCACTCACTCACTCATTCATTCATTCACCATGCTACAAGAATCTAAACGGTTCGTCTCAGTTCGCCAGTATTTACCTTTCTCTTAATACAATTACAGAAACGTGGACTCAGTTATAAGATAGTGCTGAACATATTCTGCAATTAACGTAACAAAATGATTACCGCACGTGACAATTCTCTTTCAGGGGAATATGCCTACGTCACATTTGACCCCTCACTTGAAGGTCTAGATCAATGCATACTGCCATCGAACGTTAAGTTGACGTTGGAGGTTGGCGGTGAAACGTTGACCTTGAACCTGCGCAGAAATGACCACGTGCATCCCGGTGTTCCCTCCTACGTCATTGAGATGACGGCTGACGGTCGGACAGGCTTCAGGCGCGAGGAGCAAGATGACCCCAAGGTAGGGCTCCATAATAGGGTTGGTTGGTTGGTTGGTTGTTTTACGCCGCACTCAGCAACATTCCAGCTATATGACGGCGGTCTGTAAATAATCGAGTCTGGACCAGACAATCCAGTGATTGATATCATGAGCACCAATCCACGCAATTGGGATCGAGGACAGGCTTCAACCTAGTCAGCGGCCTGACCAACCGATCCCGTTAGTCGCCTCTTACGACAAGTATAGTCGCCTTTTACGGCAAGCATGGGTTGCTGAAGACCTATTCTACCCCGGATCTTCACGGGTCCCATAACAGGGCCCCACATGGGGCAGTGTGTTCACGAGCGTGATTCTGTACCTGGCGAAGTTAATTGAGAATGATCTTGGAACAGATCACTTAATATTGGGGGATTTCGGGTCGTGGGAGTCTAGAAAGAGGGTTCGTTGAGACAGAAAAAAATCAGCTCTGCTTTAATACATAAAAAAAACATTTTCCCCTGTAAAGTGGTTGCACCATTTCTGACAAACGATTATTTTCTTTTAGGGTCACCTGTGAATTTTTATTTTATTTATTAAACTTTTATTCATTTTAATTTTTATATTATTTTTTGGGAGGTTAAATGAATAGTTTGTTCAGAAATATGCCCAAAATGAATATTTTTTGTGGAAAATACCCAAACATTAAATTTGTTGTGTTAATAGGGAAATTAATAGATTCTTTGATGGTGCTCAGTAAGTAAAGAGGTTCTTGGATACCGTTGGGAAGAAATAGATTGTTCTTAAACATACCCCCCACCCTCCTACAAATCAAATGGATGATCCTTAGCATGTTCCCAATATGATCGGTTTAAGACAGATGTCTATTTTATCTTGTTTCAATTTCCAACAATTCCTTGTCTTCTAGTTACGAGCGGCCTACCAAGACTTGGCCCACGAGGCAGCTGTCTTCATCACGTGTGCTGTGTCACCATCTGGAGCTGAATATGAGATGGTGAGGTGGAAACAGTGTTTCTGATATTCCTCGATATCTGTGTCCAGAATGTAAGGTGTTAGACTGTGATACTATTTAAAAATCACAGCGAGTGAGTTTCCAGCAGTATCGCGCCATCCTGTAAACAATTTGGCCTCTGTGAGAATAACCGATGGTTGACAGCACCTAACAGAGGTCCTATTCGCTGTCTGGGCTGCGTGTAGAGGGGGCAAGGGCCCTGAGCTGAGAAGTGAGGGAGTGAATATGGTTTAACGCCGCTTTTAGCAATATTCCAGCAATATCACGACGGGGGACACCAAACGTGGGCTTCACACATTGTACCTGAACTGACGATGAGCTTAGCCAGCCTGACTGTGTCAGGATCACCCAAACCCTCGTTGCTGCATTTATTTATTTTAATCTGTAAATAATCATAATAATAGTCATCATCATCATAATAATCATAATATTAACCATTATTATAAAAACGATACTCACAAGGATGTGACGAAACACATAAATATGAGAGTTTTTCCTCAAATGTCTAACAACATAAAATAAGTATGTCTCATTCCCCCTTCCAGGAGGGTAGTCTGTTTGTTGGGAGCGTCAAGTACCGCGTCCTTCCCTCCCAGTCCACAGTCCCCCTCTACCGCCGCCTGTTTCACTCAGGAGCAGAGAAGCTGTACCACGTGATCAGAGCCAAAGAGGACCTCCCCTTTGATGCTGAGATTACAGGTGAGCTACATTTCTACAAAGATACAAATATTGAAATTTGTGTCTGGAAAACAGATACCATTCTGAATAAAACTTATTCGGATCAGAATCATTAGGTGACGTCACGGTTATTGGTCACAAGCAAGTGAGTACTTTCAGCATTATCTATGTATTTACTGTTTGTAGTAAGGTCGTTGGTAGAATAGGTCTTCAGCAACCCATGCTTGCCGTGAAAGGCGACCATGCTTGTCGTAAGAGGCGACTAACGCGATCGAGTGATCAGGCTCGCTGACTTGGTTGCTGCATGACATCGATCCCAATTGCGTGGATCGATGCTCATGATGTCAATCACAGGATTGTTTGGTCCAGACTCGATTATTTACAGAACGCCGTCATATAGGTACAAACAAATCTTGGACCACGCAGCCGTGATATGGTGTCACACGGGCCAGGCCATATGCATTGTGATAACCGGATCCTCAGTTAAGTCGTCTCTTACGATGTGACCCGGACTACCCAAGGGGTATGTCATCCCAGGGAGGTATTTTGAACTTGTACCCGTGTAACCGGGATGTTGAAAAAGGATGAGTACACATAATACCCAAGTCACAAAAATACTTGGTCGTGGGCGTAGCTGACATGCGAGGTGGCTCCGAAAAACAAGGATGCGCACCCCCGAATGTCCCCTGTGTTTGTTTGTTTGTTTGTTTGTTTGACGCCGCACTCAGCAATATTCCAGCTATATGACGGCGGTCTGTAAATAATCGAATCTGGACCAGACAATACAGTGATTGACATCATGAGCATCGATCCATGAAATTGGGATACGATGACATGCATCAACCAAGTCAGCGAGCCTGACCACCCGATCCCGTTAGTCGGCTCTTACGACAAGCATAGTCACCTTTTTCGGCAAGCATGGGTTGCTGAAGACTTGTTCTACCCTTGATCTTCACGGGCTGAATGTCCCCTGTGGATCCGCCAGTACGTATAATGGTACCCGTATCATCAAATTCTATGGTCATGTTTTTGTATCATGTGGAATGATATGCACAGATCATACAGATATCATTAAATATATGATAAAATTATATTATATTTGTTTATTAATAAAAATAACGTCCTCTTTTTTTTTCATCATAATTAGTGGAGAAGTATGAAGAAATAATCAGCAGAAGTCTGGACGAGATCCGCTTACCTCCCGCACGTGCCGCACGTGAAAAACGTGAAGTTGTTGACGCAGAACAGACCATCAATATCGACGTCATAGCTCTGTTGGATTACTCGCTCCTCAAAGTGTAAGTTGTGAGGTTAATGGTTGGATGAGAGGGTTTAACGCCGTGCAGAACAATAGTTCGGTTAAATCACGGCGGGTCAGTCATATGTGAGGAAAAGCTCGGATTGTTGCAGGTCTTAGACGTTTACCACTTTGGTACGACGAGAACGGTATGGTGCTGACAAACCTAGAAACATATGCAGAGCAAATCTTGGATTCGAACCCACAATCATAGGTTTCTGGCACGCTACATAACGAATTGTTCCGCCTTAAACGAGTTCCCATTGTGTGGATTGTGATTGAGTTGGGTTTAACGCCCGAAGCCCGAAGTGATGCAGGTCTCAGACGTTTACTACTTCGGTGAAACCCACGAGCACGGGCATGGTGCTGACAAACCTAGAAACATACTCAGGTCGACCGGGATTCGAACCCACAATCATAGGTTTCTGGCGTGCCCAAGGGACGCAGCTCTGCCCAGCGAATCGAGGCGCCTTAGACGACTGGGCTAACGCCCCCACACCCCCCCCCCCCACACACACACACCCCCCACACACACACCCCCCCACCCCACCCCCCCACCCCACCCCCCCCCCCCCCCCCCCCCCCCCCCCCCCCCCCCCCATCCTCCCACCCCACCCTGGAAGCTTCCGAAGCAGACACCCTTAAAATGGAATAATATAGTACAAGTCACTCCATGATATACAAACTTTCTCAAGGTTTATCATTCAGGCTTACATCACTTGTATCCACCTGAATCACCTCACACGATAACACATAAAATATCCAGCTTTAGAATTCCTTCATGTAATCATTATATTTTTTTACCACATATTGGATGAACACGACTGCTTTGTACAGCTCAATTCTACCACTTGAAGCAACAATATCCCCTCAACCTTTTCATACCATGAATAGAACAAATCACAAACCGCTGGACCGTGAAGCATTGGCAAACCCACTTGATAAATGTAACTGTGATGTGAATATAGGCGTCATCCACTAACGCACGCAAGTAACCTGAGGAAAAGCACACATCAACACAATGTCTTTAAAAACATAATTCAAATCCAATATTCCAAAGTAAATGTCAAAATGTGTATGTGTGTGCGTGTGTTAAGTCATGTGTTACTATCTAAATACTGTAAACTGAGGAGCAAAAGAAACTATACTTCTCAGTTGATTTGATCATATGTTTGATTTTCAAGTGAGAATAGCGATGTTATATCCAAAAGAGGAACCGTACAAGGGCTTAGTCACATTCAAAGAATACTCCCACATCTGTTTTTTTTGCTTTTTTAATAAAGTTTGATTTGAAAGTTTTAAAAATTAATAAAGAAATTTCGCATAATGCACAACCGCTGGTTTGAAACATTAAAAAAAATCAAAACAGTTTTGCATTATACACAAATGCTGATGGGTATGTTAGAATCTTATATTTGAAAATCAATACATTTGATTTTTTCGGCACATTTTTACAAAATTTCAAAGGGGTCATGTGGTCGCAAATTCATTCCTTACAGCAGTCTTCATTGAACCAGTTTATCTAAACACAAAATTACCCAGACACAGATTATGTTTTAGAAACTGTTGCAAGGATGAATGATGGTCAAATAGATATAAACAAAATTAACACCAGATTTGTTTTTAATTTTCAAGGACATAACTGCAAACTGGGTATACTTTCTTTGCCCCTCAGTATATATGCTTAATTAATTCACTCATATTAATGTTGATAAAATCACTTTTCTTTAAACCAACATTGTAGAATATATGAACAAGCATTCTACTCACACACATACATGTGATGGAACACAGTTGCGTTTTAACTTCCATGAGTTGCACAGCACCACACTCGAGGGACTGACCTGTGTGTATGTCTCACTGTCGTCTTTCCTCCACCGCATCAGACACACCGTGAAATAACGAACACAATGCTTGTCGCAAGGAGCGACTTACGGGATCGGGTGGTCAGGCTCGCTGACTTGGTTGAAGCATGCCATCGTATCCCAATTGCGTAGATCGATGCTCATGATGTCAATCGCTGGACTCTCTGGTCAAGACTCGATTGTTTACAAATCGCCGTCATATAGACAGAATATTGCTGAGTGCTGTGTTAATCAACAAACAAATAAAAAGCAAACTGTCTCACTCTGGTCCAGGGGCGGTCGGGTAGCCTAGTGGTTAAAGCGTTCGCTCGTCACGCCGAAGACTCGGGTTCGATTCCCGACATGGGTACAAAGTGTGAAGCCCATTTCTGGTGTCCCCCTCCGTGATATTGCTGGAATATTGCTAAAGGCGGCGTAAAACCATACTCACTCACTCACTCACCCACCCACCCACCCACCCAACCACCCACTCACTCACTCACTCACTCAGCTCAGCTCAGCTCTTGCGCCAGCACGGGATATTGGGGACTCACTCACTCTGGCTCATGTTTCAGATGGACGGCCAGGGCAGGGGGCGACGCTGCACGAGGAAAAACAGAAATGAAGAAATACTTTGCTCATGTCATGAACTCTGTGAGTTGGCCCGAGTTCGGCTTAGGAGTGCCGTCTGTGTAGTGTTAACATTACGATAACAAACTGGACAGGGATTTCTGTAAGAGACAGAAACGATAATATTTTATAGCCACGGCTTTACGACATACCACTGTTTACGACATACCACTGCTTTTCTCTCAAAGGACAATTATATTTTTTGCGACACATATTATAAGAAAACATTTTGTTTGCAGAGTCAGAAAAAACATAGTTGTCTGTACTTTCTGGTATCATTGTTATTCCCTTAACAACCTTCAGCCGTTAATCATTGTCGCCTGGTTATGTGTACGAGTATAGTTTGAATCTCGTTCTGCCAAAGTTTGCATAATTGAAGTACACTCAGACATTGCCTGTCGTAGTCACACACTGATGCATTGCTGATGCTGCCTCGTTAAGGAAGTCTCTGGCAATACCTTAACATTAAAAGATGGAGATGGTAAGGGTAGGGTCTAGGGATGATGTATGACGGACAGAGAATTGGTCGAGTTAACGTTGATAACAACGATGAGCAATGCTCAATCTCAGAAATGCTGACGGTTGGTCACATACACGTTCCAGGTCGGGATGGGTCGGTCGGGGTGCCAAGTGGTTAAAGCGTTCGCTCGTCACGCCGAAGACCCGGGTTCGATTCTCGACATGGGTACAATGTGTCAAGCCCGTTTCTGGTGTCACCCGCCGTGATATTACTCGAATAGTGCTAAAAGCGGCGTAAAATCATCCTCACTCACTCACTCACTCACTCACTCCAGGTCGGGATGCCAAGGCATGTTTGGTCCTAAGGTCCTCAGGTCCCAGCAGATTTAAACGAGGACGGTAGCAACGATTGACTTTGATGATCGTGTTATCTGAACGCAAAGCTGTATATCGTGTCTGACGGCCAAACCTTTTTAAATATTTTTTTACAGGACGCCGTGAGAGCTGAAACTATCACTGTCTTACAACTCACTATCTGTTACTGCTGAAGCAATACACGTCACTATTGCATGACACATGTGATCAACTTTATACAAAACTTAGATCTCCCAACTGTTGTAGCAGATCTACACAGTAGATCTAACGTATACCTGGTCTGAGTTCCGCTATCTATATTCACAGGTCAGCCTTCGCTTTAAGAGCATCGGAGAATTGAACACCGGCAACACCAGCCATCTGTTCAACATCCGTCTGGTGGGCTTCTTCATCGCAACGGTATGTAATTAAACCAACGGTAACAGGAAGGATGGCGGTGAAAAATTGGGCCTCAACATGATCTAAGTTGCTGAGAAAAATTGTCTCCCTTGATTATGCTAGGATCCGCTGGTCAGGGGTTCGAACACCTACATTAGGTAAGAAATGTCTCCCTGGGAAAACGTTCTGACCTCACGAACCCTTCATGTATGTTCCGAATTTATACAGTATCCTATGCTTGCCATGAAACCGGACAAAACTTGGCTGTCTCTGTGAGTTGGCTAAGTGATGTCATCGCAGACTGGTTTGTCTAGTCTAAACTCGATTATTTTCATGTGGATGTGATATAGCTCGATTGTCGCGTACTGCGGCATACAAAAACATTGACTCACTGTCAAATATTACTTGGACAATAAGATGAGTGGATGCTATATAGCTGGAGTATTGTAGACTGCGGCATAAAGCAACGTTGATTCACTTACTGTCAAATATAACTTGGACAATAAGATGAGTGGATGCTATATAGCTGGAGTATTGTAGACTGCGGCATAAAGCAACGTTGATTCACTTACTGTCAAATATAACTTGGACAATAAGATGAGTGGATGCTATATAGCTGGAGTATTGTAGACTGCGGCATAAAGCAACGTTGATTCACTTACTGTCAAATATAACTTGGACAATAAGATGAGTGGATGCTATATAGCTGGAGTATTGTAGACTGCGGCATAAAGCAACGTTGATTCACTTACTGTCAAATATAACTTGGACAATAAGATGAGTGGATGCTATATAGCTGGAGTATTGTAGACTGCGGCATAAAACAACGTTGATTCACTTACTGTCAAATATAACTTGGACAATAAGATGAGTGGATGCTATATAGCTGGAGTATTGTAGACTGCGGCATAAAGCAACGTTGATTCACTTACTGTCAAATATAACTTGGACAATAAGATGAGTGGATGCTATATAGCCGAGTATTGTAGACTGCGGCATAAAGCAACGTTGATTCACTTACTGTCAAATATTACTTCGACAGTAAGATAATGAATCGATTGAAATTTTACTCCTGTCCAAAAAGTTGGTCTAATGTCATTTTTGCGTTTATATAGAACAAAGTTAATAGTCCACACTACTGTATTTCACACACAATCTCCTAATTCAGCACCACAAATATGTTCATATGTATGTAACGCCATAAAAGGCTAAAACTGAAGAGTGTATGTATTTAAATTGCGGTCATTTGTGATCTGATTACTAGTATATCAAGTATACACCATATTAGTTGGTACCGTATTATCTCCAGAATGAGACCGACTCACCTTGGTCTGAGAAGATCAGGGGTCACATCACGACCAACAACACCTGGCAGCTGAACGCCACTGTGGTCCTAGAGGCCCTGAAGACATGGTCCGCCTCAACCCCTGACGTCCCTGCCCACGACCACATCATGATGTTCACAAGGTATCTGTATATGACTAGTCTTACACGTTACTACCACATGATGGTGTTCACAAGGTATCTGTATATGACTAGTGGTACACGTAACTACCACATGATGGTGTTCACAAGGTATCTGTGTATGACTAGTCGTACACGTAACTACCACATGATGGTGTTCACAAGGTATCTGTATATGACTAGTCTTACACGTATCTAACACATGATGGTGTTCACAAGGTATCTGTATATGACTAGTCGTACACGTAACTACCACATGATGGTGTTCACAATGTTCCTATATATGACTAGTCGTACACGTAACTACCACATGATGGTGTTCACAATGTTCCTATATATGACTAGTCGTACACGTAACTACCACATGATGGTGTTCACAGGATACCTCTATATGACTAGTCGTACACGTAACTACCACATGATGGTGTTCACAGGATACCTCTATATGACTAGTCGTACACGTAACTACCACATGATGGTGTTCACAGGATACCTCTATATGACTAGTCGTACACCTAACTACCACATGATGGTGTTCACAGGATACCTCTATATGACTAGTTGTACACCTAACTACCACATGATGGTGTTCACAAGGTATGTGTATATGACTAGTCGTACACCTAACTACCACATGATGGTGTTCACAAGATACCTCTATATGACTAGTCGTACACCTAACTACCACATGATGATGTTCACAAGGTACATATTGTATTTGTGAAGCTATGTCACACATCATGTAAATACAGTTTTACGCATCACTTCATTACTGCTGACTCAGCTCCATCTGTTGTATTTATATGTATTTTGTCATTGCCGTTGTCAAATAAAGTAATGTAATTGTATGTGCCACTCTCCAAATCATTGGGGGAAATAAAGAGTATTTATTCATTCATACACTGGTTGGTTAGACACACGTTCATTGCTTGGATACACATACGTTCATTGGGTGAATACATACACGTTCATTGGGTGAATACATACACGTCCATTTGTTTGACACACACACACACGTTCATTGGTTGGTTACACACACGTTTATTGGTTGGATATACACATGTTCATTGGCTGGATTTACACATGTTCATTGAGTGGATATAACATGTTCATTGAGTGGCTATACACACGTTCCATGGGTAGACACACACACGTTTATTGGTTTGATACACACGGGTTCATTGGTTGGATATATACACGTTCCTTTGTTGGACACACACACATATTCATTGGTTGGTTACACACACGTGTATTGGCTGGATGCACACACATTCATTGGTTGGTTACAAACGCGTTCATGGAGTGGATATACACAGCTTCATTGGTTAAATATACACACGTTCATTGAGTGGATATACACACACGTTCATTGGTTGGTAACATACACGTTCTTTGGGTGGATACGCACACGTTAATTGAGTGGATACATACACGTTCATTGGTTCGTTGCAAACACGTTCATGGAGTGGATATACACAACTTCACTGGTTAAATATACACACGTTCATTGAGTGGAAATACACATGTGTTCATTGGCTGCTGGCACACACCATTAAATGTGTAATACACACGTGTTCAGTCAGGGGATAAACACACATTCATTGATCTGCTACACACGCGTTCATTGATCTGCTACACACACGTTCGTTGATCTGCTACACACACGTTCGTTGATCTGCTACACACACGTTCGTTGATCTGCTACACACATGTTCATTGATCTGCTACACACACGTTCGTTGATCTGCTACACACACGTTTGTTGATCTGCTACACACACGTTCGTTGATCTTCTACACACACGTTTGTTGATCTGCTACACACACGTTCATTGATCTGCTTCACACACGTTCGTTGATCTGCTACACACGCGTTCATTGATCTGCTACACACACGTTCATTGATCTGCTACACACACGTTCGTTGATCTGCTACACACACGTTCATTGATCTGCTACACACACGTTCATTGGGTGGATAGCCACACTTTCTTTATGTTGATACACACACGTACTTAGAGAAGATGACCACACATGTGTTGATGGGATACACACACGTTCATTGAGGGGATAGCCACACTTTCATTTTTTTTATACACGTTCATTGATAGGACTAATACAGGTTCATTGATATGACAGAGACATGTTTATTGGGTGGATACACACACGTTCTTTGAATGGATACACACACGTTCGTTTTGTGTATACATACACGTTCTTTGATGGGAAAAACACATTTCATATCTCTGTCCACATCCAAGCTAAGTGCCGGACATACAGGTATAGAAAACGTTCTGTGCTTTATATATATACTTTATTATTCGAATCTCAGATTGACTGGATTATGAATTTTAGTTTTTGTATCACCTACACGTGTTCATGTGTTTCACCAAAATGGTTAACATGGCTACCATCAAACTGGACTTTCTTCCCAAGCCGGAAATATTTTGCAAAGCGGTGTTAAGCCAAACGCACCCCACTCACTCATTTTCCGACGACCACTTAGACGCGTGACCCAGCATCAGGGGTTGACATTCCTGGACCTCAAACACGAACATGTTTAACGTGTCACCGTGAACAGTCATGACCAAACTGACAGGTCCATTAACAAATCCGATATTTACGTATTCATTTCATTTTCAGCTATGACTTGGTGACGGACGACAACGGTTTCCGCTTCAACTATACAACAGGTAGGCTCCTTTGTTGTGGTCTCAAAGTGTCTGTTTGTTTGTTTGTTGTTTAACGCCGCACTCAGCAGTATTCCAGCTATATGACAGCGGTCTGTAAATAATCGAGTCTAGACCAGACAATCCAGTGATTGATATCACGAGGATCGATCCACGCTATTGGGATTCGATGACATGCATCAACCAAGTCAGCGAGCCTGACCTCCCGATCCCGTAAGTCGCCTTTTACGACAAGCATAGTCGCTTTTTAACGGCAAGCATGGGTTGCTGACGACCTATTCTAACCCGGATCTTCACGGGTCGGTATCTATGTGAGTTGGCTGGCCTTGTGATACACGCTCGTCAACCCGTTACGACCCGGAAATTCTTCTATTCATGTGGAATGTTTGAAGCCCATTCTTGGTGTCGCTGGAATATTCCTGAAATCAATCTCATTCACTCCTCCCATGTTTGCAAGAAATAAGTGACCAATAACCCCCTTGCAGGACATTATTGACTAGTGATCTATTTGCAGGACATAGGTGACCAGTAGCCTCTTTGAAGGACATTAGTGACTAGTGACCTCTTTGCGGGACCTTAGTTATCAGTAGCCTCTTTGCAGGACATTAGTGACCACTAATCCCACTGCATTACATAGGTGACCAGTAGCCTCTTTACAGGACATTAGTATCTTGTAATTCCTTTGCAGGACATAGGTAACCAGTAGCCTCTTTGAAGAACATTAGTATCTTGTAATCCCTTTGCAGGACAAAGGTGACCAGTAGCCTTTTTGCAGGACATTAGTGACCAGTGACCTCTTTGCAGGACCTTAGTGACTAGTCTTTTTTGTCGTGACCTAATATTGCGGTTACTGTATTTATGTGTTTAACGGTCTGATATGTTACCGTGTATTGATCAGGCGCCAAACATGAGACCTTAGTTGGGCACAAAGACAGTTATATAGATGCAACATATCGCATAAAACTAAACCTTTAATATGGAACAGTAAAACACACGATAGTTCTGATTAAAGCAGCTGATTTTATGGACGCTTCGCGCAGTATACATATCTATTTTTCCAGTTTGTCAAGCCTTTCATAATTGCTTTTCTTTTTTAACATTTTTCCCTTGTTGTTTAAATGTTGTTAGAAAGTTGGTGCATGTATAAGACAGCTAATGGGGGAGGGGAGACAACCCCAACACTGTGTTTCCAGTCTTTGTTGTGAGGGATTTGTTCCCTGGTGAGAATGTCATGTGAGAGAATTAGCTAGGTGAAGAATTGGGGTTTAACGTTCCGTTCAAGATCATTGCATTAATATAACGACGTGCGTGCATGCGTGCTTCCGTCTGCTCGTACTAATCCAAACTAATGCCAATTTTATAGTGCTAGCCCTCTGCGATACCATGCCTCAGTTTAACGTGAATACCCCACTCAGATACAGTGTACTGACTCCGAGCCGACCAGTCCTTGTTTTATTCCCTTAATGCCGATCATTTAATGGGAATTGTTCAGATGGTAATACTTTGCTGACTGGGCAAAAGAAGTAAACATCCATGGTTTGATTGTTCGATGGTAAAAAAAGGAAACAAACAAAAAATGGTTATTCGGAGGATATGTATTTGACAGGGGTATCATGGTTGTGTCTTGGACGTCAACCTTACAGTGTTTCGGCGACTTTGTTCGCCCTGGTAACGTTTTAATAACCTTTGAAATTTTTGGTGTCAAATCCAATTTTCAATTGCTGACAAACCAATAATCATAATTAGGGTTCATCTAGGATTCGAACCCACACTCATAGTTTCAAGTACGTCTTGGGGACGGCTAGGCCACCTGTCCACCTCGGGCCTTTCTTTTTGACAAGGGGACACATTCTTTCCATTTACTTCTGTAGGAAGTGTTATTAATTCCACGTTCGTGAGTACAAAGCCACTTGCACTGTATACTTCCACCAAGCCGCTTGTACTTCCTACAGGCTTCGCCTATGTCGCCACCACGTGTGCCACCGATGGCTCGAGCGTGTCTGTCGTGGAGGACCAAGGAGGATATCAGAGTGTCGGCACCGCCGCTCATGAACTGGGCCACAGGTGAGTGGAGTAGACAGTGAGTGAGTGAGTTGGGTTAAACGCCACGTTTAACAGTATTCCAGTTATATCCCGGCGTGTCAGCTAAATGTGGGAGGAAAGCCCGAAGTGATGCAGGTCTCAGACGTTTACCACTTCGGTGAAACCCACAAGTACGGGTATGGTGCTGACAAACCTAGAAACATAATCGGGTCGAACCGGGATTCGAACCAACAACCATAGGTTTCTGGCGTGCCCAAGGGAGGCACAGCAAATCGCGGCGCCTTAGACAACTGGGCCACCCGTGCCCCAGAGTAGACAGTGGGAAAAGACTTTTGACCACAGATGACAAAAAATATTATGTCAAAGAAGAGGGCCGGGTGATGACATGTTGTTTTACGCCGTTCTGTATTTCAGTTATATCACGACATTACAGCTAATTTTGAGAATTGGACTTGTACTAAAATATATGTACATGAGCATATGAGTGTATATTGGATTCAAACCCGAGCAACTCGCCTCAGACCACAACTGTATCCGTGCCCCTATTTCGTATCCGTCGCTTGCTTGTCGCAATCACATACACGTAATCCTCTTTCGGTACACAGGTTATCCGTGCTAAACATTATCTTCCCCACACACAGTCACGCATTGAACTGGCAAACCCAAGTCTTCATTTATTGATTACACAGTAAAATATGATCGCGATGTTCTGTCAGTGAGGCTTATATTTATGAACTGAATTACAGTAAAAACACTCCATTAATTCGATAAACTGTTCAAGATGATGTAATATCGTAGATCCGACGGAATATGGACGATCCTTTATCGGTTCTCTCGAAGTTGGAATACAGTAAACTACGATTAGAACGAACTCGAAGGGAGCAGTAATTTTAGTTTGTTATAATCGTTGTTCGTTATAAAAACATATACACGTATACAGCATGTATACAGCAAATGGTCTGAACCAAAATAAAGTTCGTCATATCCGTCAGTTTGTTATAAGCGTATTCGTTATAAACGTAGTTAACTGTATTTTCACTGAGCCCCAGAGTTTTCAGTTAACCAGGTTTCCCTGCATAACAGGAAATTTATCCAACTGTTGTACGTCATGTCAGTGTAAGCTAACAAAACAAACTGACCGTGGGTGAAGCAACAGTGACCAGTATAAACTGACCAGTCCACTACACCTCTGTTCTTGCAGCCTTGGCGCACGTCACGACGGGTCGAACAATACTTGTAGCTCTGCAGACCGGTACGTGATGGCACCAACATCCCACGACGAGTCGCCATCCAACAAGTACAACCCCTGGTATTTCTCCGCTTGCTCGGTGCAGTATTTCGTGGACTACATCAACACAGCGACCACAGCTGACCCGTAAGATTCTTCACGTCACTTCCGGGGATCGCTTCACGTCACTTCCGGGGATCGGGTGTGTGTGTGCTGGTGTGAGGGGCTGTTAAGTTTATGGGGGTGTTGTATATGTTTGTTTGCTTGTTTTTAACGCCATACTCACCAATATTCCAGCTATATGACGACGGTCTGTAAATAATCGGCATCATGAGCACTGACCAACGCATTTGGGATACGATAACATGCATCAACCAAGTCAGCGAGCCTGGCCACCCCATCCCGTGTCCTCTTAAGACAAGTATAGTCGCCTTTTATGACAAACATGGGTTGCTGAAGACCTATTCTACCCCGGATTTTCATGGGTCGTATATGGATGCAGCAACCGCGGTGCAATAGCTATCATACTTAATTATTTATGTACATATTTATTGAGATGTTAATGTAATACCATTTCAACATCAACTCCTTACGCCGGTTATTATGACCTTCTTTGTGAATAGTGTGACAGGAAATGGACTTTGATTCCACCTGCATCGTCTGTCTTCTTTCTTGAAGCACAAAAATAGCGTACGTCAATGACATTTACAACACAAATAGCATCTAATTGACTAATGATTGTTATGTTTGAGTGTTCGAAATACCTGCCTGCCCGACCGTCCGAGACGGGTTGATTTCAACTCGGGCTGCCAGATTTTCAAATCCCCCTGCCCGACGGTCGGGTTATATTTCATATGTGACAATATTCTAAATATTTCCCGATGATAATCATTAATTCACATGTAAAGATGAATGATAAAATGTAACCAAAAAGAAATCCCGTTAGGTTATCCTGAGTAACATATGATTATAGTGGGCAGGCAGGTTTTGGTCAGGGCTGGCAAGTATTTCAGCTAGCCAGTCCTGTGGTCTGGCTGAAATTTTTGGAAGTTTCATACCCTGGACTAACCCCGGGTCCGGGTTGTCCTGTGGGTACCCGGGTCCTGTTTCTCGAATTATTGTTCTGGTATTTTAAGTTCACCCTCCTTCTCCACGCGTCGGTCTTACACCAGTTGTAACGCTGCAATCACAATGTGTATATTACTTGTTTGTTTGAACCAAGCAATAGCCCAGCTATATGACGGCGGTCTGTAAATAATCGAGTCTGAAGCATACAATCCAGTGATTGACATCATCTGCATCGATCTACGCAACTGGGACACGATGGCATGCATCAATCAAGTCAGCGAGTCTGACCACCCGATCCCGTTAGTCGCCTCTTACGACAAGCGTAGGTTGATAAATACAATGGATCTAATGTGTATGTTGGTACATAACGTTTGAAAATTACACATTACGCACGTTTTATGATTCCAGGAACAAAACGGCATGTTTCACGGAGACGCTCCCAGGGGTCGACATTCCCAATATCACTGGTGAAATGCCTGGTCAGCTTCTCCCGCCAGATGCCCAGTGCCAGCAGCAATTCGGCAACACCTCCTACCTGTGTAGAGTAAGACAACACAATATTTAAAAAAAAAGAGTAACTGACATTCACTGTTGGATACATCTTGCCCAGGCAAGGGAGATAACTGACTATAAAAAGTCCAGTTTCCACCCTTGCCGAACTTGGCTGGAATTTCAGATTCCACCTCTCAGATCACTCATATCATATGCCCAGGCCAAAAGCGCTGATCGATAATCAAAATATTTATTGTAATGAAATGGATCTTAACTCGCGATGCGCATCAAACCATTTGAGCACCATGATTAGAAACATGGAAATTTTTGGAAAATCTCTGCTAACGCCCAATTGGCGGTACACGTGCATTGCAAATCCTGCAGTCGACAAAACGCTGCACGTTGAAATCCATGTTGTTAACATACTGGATGTCTAGTTTGTTTCGCAATTGTATTGGACTATGCAGAGACACGTTAGTCCAACCAACATGTAACTTCATAATTCCAGCCTCGTTCGGCAAGGGTGGAAACTGGACTTATATAGTCAGTTAACTCTCTTGCCTCGGGAAAATGTGTTGGATAGTGAGTGTATGATGTCTGACGGTGACGTCTGCAATTATCCAGCTGTAGCACGACCACCCCTAAGTAACCGAGTGAAGGTATAGCATACCAGGGGTCGATAGCATGAGCATCGATGACGTCATTTTTCTTTGGATGCCGGCGGTGGTGAGATATGACGAAACAGTGCTTTCCCCTAAGCAGACAGTCACGTAACAGTTCTCTCAACATATTACTAATGTCGTTTACATGTTGTAACATCGTCGGGGACGCTGCCCAAAGTTACGTCCCATGGGCACGCCAGGAACCTATGATCGTGGGTTCGAATCCCTGTTCGCCCAGATTACGTCAGCACCATACCCGTGCTCGTGGGTTTTACCAAAGCGGTAAATGGCTGCAACTTGTAATGCATGACGTGTCATATAAATGTGGAATACTGTTCAAAAGCATTCACTCATTCATTTATTCACTAGCTCACTCACTCAATCACTGTATTGTCGTCAACGTGGTAATGACATTGTCGGACATAACAGGCGTAACGAAGCTCTCTAAACATTAATACATGTATTTGCACGTACATGTTTACATGTATGTCAGAATGTAAAACTTATTATTGATACCAAAGAAATATTATATATAGAGGTATTTATTGATCGTTCTTCTTCGTGTAAATATTTGTTGTGACATTGTCCTTGCGTTGTTTGATAGTGACCTTTGTTTGAACATTTTGACAGGGAGTGGATTTCGACGTCACCAATATCATCTGTCGCGCTATGTTCTGCTACATGCCTTCTACAGTCAAATGTCAGATGCTGACGGCAGCCATGGGGACGACATGTGGGAACAAGAAGGTATGTTACTGGTTGTCAGGGGAACAACATGGGGGAACAAGAAGGTAGGTTACTGGTTGCCAGGGAAACAACATGTGGGAACAAGAAGTTAGGTTACTGGTTGTCAGGGGAACAACATGTGGGGACAAGAAGGTAGGTTACTGGTTGTCAGGGGAACAACATGTGGGGACAAGAAGGTAGGTTACTGGTTGCCAGGGAAACAACAAGTGGGAATAAGAAGGTAGGTTACTGGTTGCCAGGGAAACAGCATGTGGTGACAAGAACGTAGGTTACTGGTTGTCAGGGAAAAAACATGTGGTGACAAGAAGGTAGATTACTGGTTGCCAGGGAAACAACATGTGGGGACAAGAACGTAGGTTACTGGTTGCCAGGGAAACAACATGTGGGAACAAGAAGGTAGGTTACTGGTTGTCAGGGGAACAACATGTGGGAACATGAAGGTAGGTTACTGGTTGCCAGGGAAACAACATGTGAGAACAAGAAGGTAGGTTACTGGTTGTCAGGGGAACAACATGTGGAAACATGAAGGTAGGTTACTGGTTGCCAGGGAAACAACATGTGGGAACAAGAAGTTAGGTAACTGGTTGCCAGAGAACATCATGTTGGGACAAGAAGGCAGGTTACTGGTTGATAGGGAAACAACATGTGGGGACAAGAACGTAGGTTACTGGTTGCCAGGGGAACAACATGTGGGGACAAGAAGGTAGGTTACTGGTTGATAGGTGAAGCATTCGAGAACATGAAGGTAGGTTACTGGTTGCCAGGGAAACATCATGTGGGAACAAGAAGGTAGGTTACTGGTTGTCAGGGGAACAAGAAGGTAGATTACTGGTTGCCAGGGGAAAAACATGTGGGAACAAGAAGGTAAGTTACTGGTTGTCAGGGGAACAACATGTCGGAAAAAGAAGGTAGGTTACTGGTTGCCGGGGGATAACATGTGGGAACAAGAAGGTAGATTACTGGTTGACAGGGGAACAACATATGGGAACAAGAAGGTAGGTTACTGGTTGCCAGGGAAACAACATGTGGGAACAAGAAGTTAGGTTACTGGTTGCCAGGGGAACAACAAGGTGGGTTACGGGTTGCAATGGGAGCAACACGTGGGAACAGGAAGGTAGGTTACTTGTTTCCAGGGGAACTGCTTGTGGGAACAACAAGGTATGTCACTGGTTGCCAACATCTGGGACAAGTAATAAACAAATACCTAGTATTTATGATAACATAGACTTCTAGCAAGCCTATCTTTGATCATATTCATCAAAAACGTATCAAATCATACCACACGCTAACACCGAACACAGCTATCTCGAACAAGTTAACTATTACGATAAACCTATAGCGACGTCATCTTATTTTTGAAGGGCCTTCATTGTGTAGTCACGGTGCTTGAAATCCCGGGCATTTTTACATATTTCAGTAAGAATGCTCCCGGCGTTATGTAGGAATGTCCCCGGCATTATGTAGGAATGCCCCCGGCATTTATGTAGGAATGCCCCCGTCATCTATGTAGGAATGCCCCCGGCATTATGCGGGAATGCCCCCGGCATTATGTAGGAATGCTCCGGCATTATGTAGGAATGCTCCGGCATTATGTGGGAATGCTCCGGCATTATGTGGGAATGCCTCCAGGCATTATGAGGGAATGCTCCGGCATTATGTGGGAATGCTCCGGCATTATGTGGGTATGCCTCCGGCATTATGTTTGCAATGACTCCGGCATAATGTAGGAATGCCCACATTTCCCAGATGTTATCAACGTTTGGAAGAACCTTTCAAGAGAGTGGTGTCACATCACACGAAAATTATAAACATCCTTTCACACACGATTAATATTGATTTTTGATTGGTTAAAAGTCACGATTGCTTTACATAAAAAGTCCGTGAATTGAACCTGCAATCACAGATTTAGTATTGTAACCCTCTGTTTTCCCACTGAACCTACGGGGCAGGTGATGAAAGGGTGTTCAGTTGTCTTCCCGCTGTCATCGATTTAGTTTTATATCGCGACTACTGTATTGTTTCACAATCAGGCCTCCAGATAATTTTGTTTTCTTTCCGGCGCTGGGATTTTCCTTCGCTCCATGGTTTACATTTTCAACCAAAACTGGAGAGTCACGTTTTAACAATAACAACAGGGCTGTCTCCCCCACAATTGTATCTATCCAACTTATTCACCCATCTACCACTGGCCACAATAGTATAGATATGGCTGGGATATTCCTAATATCACCGCAACACACACTCGCTCACACATCCACGGCTGGACAAACTAGTTGTACGCCGCCTAGATATGGCTGGAACATTCCTAATATCACCGTAACACACACTCGCTCACACATCCACGGCTGGACACACTAGTTGTACGCCGCCTAGACATGGCTGGAACATTCCTAATATCACCGTAACACACACTCACTCACACATCCACGGCTCCACACACTAGCTGTACGCCGCCTAGACAGGGTTGGAACATTCCTAATATCACCGTAACACACACTCACTCACACATCCACGGCTCCACACACTAGTTGTACGCCGCCTAGACATGGCTGGAACATTCCTAATATCACCGTAACACACACTCACTCACACATCCACCCCTCCACACACTAGTTGTACGCCGCCTAGACATGACTGGAACATTCCTAATATCACCGTAACACACACTCACTCACACATCCAGCCCTCCACACACTAGTTGTACGCCCCCTAGACATGGCTGGAACATTCCTAATATCACCGTAACACACACTCACTCACACATCCACGGCTCCACACAATGGGCTGTACCCCATCTAGATTTGGCCCGGAATATTCCTAAAACACCGTAAACTCGCCCTTTTGATTCCTTGGTAGTTATTCTTTGTACAAATGGCTGCAAATGTTGATTCTTTACCTTCCTGTTTCAGTGGTGCATCAACGGGGAATGTATAACAAGTGATAGTGCCCCTGCGGTAGACGGTAATGTACACAATACACCAATCATTAATTATTACACTATATCATACGATCAAACATCGTTGTGTCGAACTCTGATATGTTGAACTTACGGCTGTCTCAAAGTAAAAGCTTGGTCCATACGTTTTCTTGCTTTATTCATCATTATTTAACTTCCGATGCCTCAAAGTGCCGGTTCTCTCGCAGTAATGTTTCAGTCTCGATATACTACCAGCACAAACGTACTCTGATAATTCGAAATATGTTTGGGACCTACCATTTGAGGAAAAAACTTGTCAGGTTTTGCTAAAAAATCATTCTTGGCTGGTTATGCTGGATGCCCTGCAAAAGTATTTTGTACGAAAAAGGTTAAAATTGTTCAACTCCTTTCACAGAAAAATGCGTGTTTAGAAGCAGAGACAAAATTACCCCGTGTCTAACAAAAATCTCAGGCCCCGACTTGAATATTAAATGATGGGTCAGCTTACAGCCATGTATGGAATACTGTAAGGGACAATCTCGCGATCTCGTGTTTTGGGCATATTTAGCTCGTTTCCAAAGGTCGAGATCGCGAGAATGTCCCTTGCAGTATTTCATAGCCATGACTTCATTTCACTGTAAGCTTGCTGTACATTGCATTTCAAATATACGCCAGTCTCTATAAACTAGTGAATATCTTTCATCTTAATAAAGTATTTTAATAAACGCTTCTTCGTAGTTTTTGACATCTAGGTTAAAATATCACCCGGAAAAGGGTTGTGGATCCTTCCTTATTTTCACACCTGTGGAACTTTCATCTATCTTTTGGAAATATCTACAACTGACGTCACATCTTGATATATGTCTGAGATCCAACGAACCGGTGTTAGGTTGGTACCAGAATAGGTCATAATAGGTCTTCAGCAACACATGATTGCTGTAACAGGCGACTGTGATTGTTGTAGGAGGCGACTAAAGGGATCGGGTGGTCAGGCTCGCTGACTTGGTTGATGCATGTCATCGTATCCGAATTGCGTAGATCGATGCTGATGATGACAATCACTGGATTGTCTGGTCCAGACTCGATTGTTCATAGACCGCCGTCATATAGCCTGAATATTGCTGAGTGGGGCGTTAAACAACCAATCAACAAACAAACCAAAAGTAATATTTCATATTTGTTGTTTATCACAGTCTAACCATGGGTTAAGTAAGACAATGTGATATTTAGCTATGAACGAAACATACTTACTAGCGTGAATATTAGCTTTTTAATCACACCGGCATATAATGCGGAGAGTTTCGTTTCCGGTATATTGATTTGATTTTTAGAGTTAGACTTAGCTGAAACGGAGGTCGGTGTCGTTTCCGAGGGAGAATTAAAAAGAAATATTCAACATTTCTCATCCAAATGTGGTACATGTGGTGCTATGTTGCTATTTAGGCATTTTCAGACAATTATTTTCTGTTTCCATGGCAACAAGTTTGGGTTTGACTCTGTTCATGGTGGAGTGTTTGTCCGGACCATATCTCTAACACTAATAGGTACTCCTTCTTGAAACTGCATACACAAAGAACAGGCTGTCAACAGGTGCCTTTTGCTATTTCGGGATTTTTAGAATTGATACTTTGACTCTAGTTATATAATAATGTAGGCTTTTGGGGATGCAGACAAATGGGAACACCTTAAACAGATGATTAGATTATGCATCTTTCCAAGCTCCATCTCATTTATTTGTCAATTTTGCATTTAAAATTGTAATAGTAAGTGTTTGAAATAAAACAGCAGTATTAACGTTTGTAGTTATTTGTGAATGGTTACTGTTCTGAGTGAGTATGATTTTACGCCGCTTTAAGCAATATTCCAGCAATATCACGGCGGGTGACACTGGAAATGGGCTTCACACATTGTACCTATGTCGGGAATCGAACCCGGGTCTTCGGCGTGATGAGCGAGCGCTTTAACCACTAGGCTACCCGACCGCCCCAACAGCAGTATTAACGTTTGTAGTTATTTGTGAATGGTTACAGTTCTGAGTGAGTATGATTTTACGCCGCTTTTATAAATATTCAAACAGTATCCAGAGGGGACACCAGAAATGGACTTATCTCAGTGTACCTATGTGGGGAATCGAGTTCGGGGCTTCGGCGTGACGAGCGAACGCTTTAACCACTCGGCTACATAACCGCCGCTTTTCTTTTTGACAGGGAACTCCTAATGAGACCATGCCATGCCTCAACTTATGTTATAATTAACAGATGCCTGTCCTCATGGAGACCAACCTTATGTCCGTACGGAGGGCGGAAATGTACGCTGTCCAGTGGCCACACAGTCCGGCCTGTGCTACAGCGCGGAGTGGAATAGCACGTGTTGTGGTTCCTGCAAGACCTTTTGTCAAGGGGAGGCAGGTGAGTGAGAAACCAAACATGGCAAACAAATACATTCATTTATCCAAACTTGTTCTTACTTGTGTTAAAAAAAGTAAATGCTTACAGAATCAAACTCAGCAACGCCCATTGTGTGTGTGTGTTTGTGTGTTTGTGTGTGTTTGTGTGTGTGCGTGTGTGTGTGTGCGTGCGTGCGTGCGTGCGTGCTTGCGTGCGTGCGTGTGTGCGTGTGTGTGTGTGTGTGTGTGTGTGTGTGTGTGAGAGAGAGAAATATAACGGGAACAACTTGCACTGATGTGATCATGATAACACTGTTGTGGTAAGATAACTTTGTTGAGGAAATGATAACACTGTTGTGGAAATGATAACACTGTTGTGGTAAGATAATTTTGTTGAGGTAATGATAACACTGTTGTGGTAAGATAATTTTGTTGAGGTAATGATAACACTGTTGTGGTAAGATAATTTTGTTGAGGTAATGATAACACTGTTGTGGTAAGATAATTTTGTTGAGGTAATGATAACACGTTGTGGAAATGATAACACTGTTGTGGTAAAATAATTTTGTTCAGGTAATGATAACACTGTTGTGAAAATGACAACACTGTTGTGGTAAGATAATTTTGTTGAGGTAATGATAACACTGTTGTGGTACTAATAACACTGTTGAGGTAATGAACAGGTTATTGATGGGTGTTGTATTTGATATGCGTATCATAGTAGTGTGTATGATACATATAGCATGTAGGTTGAATGTCACCACAGGCTGCACTGACATGTTCCCCACATTCTGGTTGTATAGATTTGTATTTCACTGAAAGTAGGATTAAAAAAAGAAAAATGCTTCAACATTTACAGCAATGCTGTGAAATTACTTCTGAATTTATTGAAAAACGGAACCATTGCCGTACGACTTCTACGACACCAACTGCTATTGTCGTGTCCTAAGGGCCGTCCTTTCATAAAGAGGATTGGGTGGCCTCTATATGTACCCGTGCCGAATGTGTGTCATCGCACCCGGACGACGTGGATTGTTACTCCTGCGGTCAGCCACTGGTTTGCCTCCCCAAAATATGTTGAGGCCGACGAGATAAACCTGGAATAACGCTGACTGAGACGTAAATCAGCGTTCATGACGCTACATATATTAATGTGTATCACTCTGTCTTTTCTAGGGTGCGAGTGTGGGGACCGAGTGAATGGCTGTAATCGGGAATCCTGTGGTGCTTATGATGAAACTACTCGCCAATCGTGTTGCAAGACGTGTGCCGGTTATACCACATCAACTACTTCCACCACCACAACCACCACGACTTCCCCAACAACGACTGTGTCCAGTACGAGTACTGTCACGTATCCCACCACGTGCACTGATGTGTCGAGCTTTGGGGGTCGCTCATGCGCTGAGCACGTGCAGGACGTGGGTCGACAGTCCTGTTATGATGTCCACGTCAACCGGTCCTGCTGCAAGAGCTGTGAAAACAAAAAAATGTCCCAATCTGCTGGTGAGTATATCCATCATATCGGCTCTCCATTTTCAGGCGCCGAATATGCCAGTTTTTATACCAGATACAAGTAACCAAACCAAAATTAATGTAGATATTCAAAATAAAATAACAACTTCTGTTTAGACAACAACAACAACAAATGTAAACTCACCCCCCCCCCCCCCCCCCCCCCCCCCCCCCCCCCCCCCAACCACCTCCCTGCGTTAACTTTCCATCTTAACAACCCCCTTCTTGTTTTCTATCTGTTGAAAGAGTGAGGTACTTCTCAGGTTCGACTAAGCTTTTAGATTCTATATATAGGTTATATTATTGAAGAGGGGGCACGGGTGGCCCAGTCGTCTAAGGCGCCGCGATTCGCTGTGCAGAGTTGCGTCCCTTTGGCACGCAAGAAACCTATGATTGTTGGTTCGAATCCCGGTTCACCCCGATTATGTTTCTAGGTTTGTCAGCACCATACCCGTGCTCGTGGGTTTCACCGAAGTGGTAAACGTCCTGCATCACTTCGGGCTTTCCTCCCACATTAAGCTGACACGCTGTGATATAACTGGAATATTGTTAAAAGCGGCGTTGAACCCCACTCACTCACTCACTATATATTGAAGAATTGTCTATGATACTATGATACCACACGCATATTGATAATACAAAATACATAAACGACAAATAAATATTATAAACATGACTAACAAGATATGTCTGAAAAGGTAAGTACATGTACCACAGATACATATGCAACAACCAACTGCCATGCTACTGTCATGCTGAGAAGCATCTATATATATGTATATCTGTTCCAGGTTGTGAATGGGGGGACTACTACCCAAATTCATGCACCATATTAAAGTCTCTCCCGAATGGGGCCATCTGTCCCAGCAACTCTTCATTGAATATCCTTTGTTGCAATTCTTGCCTGCAACTTCAGAAGGCGGTGGACATCGCTGTGATCCAGACTACACCAGTATTTAGCGGTTCTATACCACCATCACCCGCGTCCTGGCTGTTCGCTGTCTGTTGTATCTGTAGCATACTCAAACTGATTAGTATTTCCTAAAAGCAACCCTTAACCTTAGTAATCATGGACAGTTGCAACTCAAGGTCGCTATTTCGATTGACACTCTAGCGGACAGCGTTGGCACATTTGAACAATAGATTTTCATTTCTTGGATGCAAGGATACGCTAGTCGGGAGTTCGAATCCCAGATTTCCAAATTGTTTTCTTTGCTCTCTAGAGTGCCATACTCGTGTTGTTGGTTTAACCAAATTAATGTGATAAAACTCATTCCATGATAACATGAAACCCCTGTTAAAAGTCGATTGTACGAAGACCTTTATGACTTCGGGTTTTGCTACCACTTATTCTGAAACGCTGTGACATAACTGAAAGGCTGTAGTGAAATACTGTACCCTTGTATTTTCGGGGTAGAAAATTACAACACTGTGAGCGTGAACGTCCACTGTCGGGCATTACCTACACATAGCCCGCTATAAATCCATCATGCACAGTACACATGGACCCGTGAAGATCCTGGATAGAATAGGTCTTCAGCAACTCGTGCTTGCTGTAAAAGGCGACTATGCTTGTCGTAAGAGGTGACTAACGGGTTAGGGTGATCAGGCTCGCTGACTTGGTTGATGCATCTCATCTTAGATCGATGCTCATGATGTCAATCACTGAATTATCTGGTCCAGACTCGATTTTGTACAGATCGCCGTCCAATAGCTGGAATATCGCTGAGTGCAGCGTTCATCAACAAATAAACAACTGAAATACTGAGTATTAAACCCAACTTACTCAATGCATATAATTATTATACTCAACGTCATGTAAATGTTTGTGAAGTTTCACAACTGAATTTTGGTCCACAAAAAGGAAGTGTTTTTATGATGCTGTTAACTGCATATGTACACCTGGATTTTCTTTTTGAAACCGCTTACAATGTTACCGCAAAAATATGGAAGTCGGACATTTTTAACTTTATGTTTGTTGTTTACAATGTGACTAACTTCGTGACAATTGCTTTTTCTGTGTCTGTGATCCATAGGAGCACGGGTGGTCCAGTCGTCTGAGGCCCAACAATTCACTGTACAGAGTTGCGTCCCTTGGGCACGCCAGAAACCTGTGATTGTGGGTTCGAATCCCGGTTCGCCCCGATTATGTTTCTAGGTTTGTCAGCACCAAACCTATGCACGTGGGTTTCCCCAAAGTGTTTAACGACCCGCATCGCTCCGGGCTTTCCTCCCATATTAAGCAGACACGTCAAGATATAATAAGAATACTGTTCAAAGCGGCGTTAAGTCCCACTCACTGACATGACATTAAAATGTTCTTGTACCTCTCAAGGAGAAAATGTTTTGTAACATGAGATGAATGTCCGATGTAGGTAGTTCCAAAGGGTACATGGAAGTTCGTAATATATGACAATATTTTCATGTGTATATATAGTGGCCTTAGGTGCGCTCCTCGTGCAAGTTTATGTACTCGATTACTGATTACTGATAAGCAGATTTGATCATAACGCTCAAAAGACATCAGTATGTAATTCCTGTACTCTGTGTTTATACATCACCGTAGTTCTTTCCTTGTATGTTTGTATATCGAGGGTAATCTAGACCCAACCCCATAGTGCAATACTTGCCCCTTATTTGTTTATGTATTACAGTAAACTACGTTCATAACGAACACGCTTATAACGAACTGACTGATATAACGAACTTATTTTTTAGTCCCAGCCTTTTGTTGTATATATGCTGTATATATGCTTATACCGAACTACGGTTATTGCGAACTAAAACTAGTGGTCCCTTTGAGTTCGTTATAACCGTAGTTTACTGTACTTTTATTTGTACATATGGGACAGTGAGGTAGCCTAGTGGTTCAAGCGTTCGAATACCCGCGTTCGAATTCCCAAATGGGTACAATGTGTGAAGACCATTTTTGGTGTCCCCGATCGTGATATTTAATAGTGCCCAAAGCGGCGTAAAACCCTACTCACTCACTATTTGTACATGTGCATTATCTTATCGATGTCTCAATTGACTTTTATTTATATTTGTTCTGTTTTGATATTTGACTTAATCAAATGACTAGTTTTATACTGTGAAAATACATCTGATCGACAAATGTCCGCGCACTTCTGTGCACACGTGATATACATGTAATTATCATGATTCTATGACAAACCAATCATGATATTTAAAAACAAAGGTTTGTTTGTTTGTTTGTTTGTTTTGGTTGTTGTTTAACGCCGCACTCAGCAATATTCCAGCTGTATGACGGCGGTCTGTAAATAATCGAGTCTGGACCAGACAATCCAGTGACTGACATCATGAGCATCGATCCACGCAATTGGGATCGATGACATGCATCAACCAAGTCAGCGAGCCTGACCACCCGATCCCGTTAGTCGCCTCTTACGACAAGCATAGTCGCCTTTTACGGCAAGCATGGGTTGTTGAAGACCTATTCTACCCCGGATCTTCACGATCAGGTCCCCAGCAACAACAGTTTGTCGTAGGATGCGACTAATCGGATCTTGTGGGTACTCTCGGTGATCTGATTCATTTCATGTCATCGTATCCCAGTTGGGTAGATCGATGGATTGTCTGGTCCAGATTCGATTATTCACAGACCCCCGTCATATAGCTGGAATATTGCTGGGTGCGTCGTTAAGTAACAACTAAACAATCAAAATAGTCAATTTCTTGAACAATTAATGCTTGTGTGGAACACGGATTGTGTGCTAGATAAAGACCTTTGGTCTATTTCATATTTTAAAATGTCCATCCATCGGATTTTGTTTCTTCATTGTCAGTCGCCTATAATGCTTGAAGACATACTTATAATTGAGAATAAATTTCACAGTTTTCCTTCATTTGAAGTTATGATTTTGTGTTATTCTGAAGTAATTTGTTTCTTTATTAAATGCCACTCTGTGGAAACTTGCATATGTCGTAAACTGTTAAAGATGTCAACATAGACAGGAACTTAAAGGTTATTGTGAGAATTTTGAATATCCTCCACATAAATTAACTGCATTTTTATATTGTAGAACACAGTTCTAATATATAATACTCAACCTTTGCCAAGGTCCCCCTTCACTATAGATCACTACTTTGGTCCTTAGCAAATGTTCTGTAGTATACAACAGTTTTATTTCATTTACGCAAAGTTTCAACTGTCTTGTGTACTTTCTTAAAAGAGATTAATAGTTTTAACGCTATATATGTGTTTCACAATAGCTGAACAATATGATGGCGCAAAACACCCACGTAAAGTATCCTAAATTTTGAATCGGCTGTATCTGAAAGTTTTAGAAACTAGAGATGCTTTTATTTTAATACGGAAGCCTATATAGCCAAATAGGTCTTCAGCAACCCATTCTTGCCGTAAAAGTCGACTATGTGTCGTAAAAGGCGACTAACAGGATCGGGTGGCCAGGCTCGCTGAATTGGTTGATGCATGTCATCGTATCCCAATTGCGTAGATCGATGCTCATGATGTCAATCACTTGATTGTCTTGTCCAGACTCGATTATTTACAGACCGTCGTCACATAGCTGAAATATTGCTGGGTGCGGCGTTAAACAACAAAAAGACAGACAGACAATCCTATGTCATCATTTATCGAGTAAAACATTCTCAGTTTCGGCTTTACAAGTTCAGTGACGTCTGGGGACAACATGTCTACAGACGCCGACAACGACGGACGTCAAACAGTCAGGCCATGACAGGTGATCGGGATCATGTCGGTATCTCCACTTTCCCTGGAAACCCGCAGTGTTCTCCACACTCGCCTGGAACCACGTATCTCGTTCCTCTCTTCTCACCGCCTCTGTGGCCTAGTGGCAGAGCGTCCGCCCGGAGAGCGGAAGGTCCGGGTTCGATCCCCGGCCGCGTCATAACAAAATACGTTAAATGATGGTACTTGTTGTTACCCTGCCGTGCGCTCGGCATTAAGGGGCTTAAACAAGTACTGGTCGGCTCGGAGTCAGTATACTGTGTCTGAGTGGGATATTCATGTTAAACTGTTAATCTCAGTGTGCTAGCACCATAAATCGGCATTGGTCCGGACTAGTACAAGCAGCCACACACACACGTGCATGCACGTCGCTACATAAGTGCAATAATCTTGGACGCGACGTTAAATCTAATTAATTTTCACCTCACCTCAACTCTTCTCCGGATAATCCGTCTTAGTCCCGGAAAACCTCTCCCCAGTTTCAAACAGAAACACGTCCCCGTGGAAGCGCTCCATCACAAAACTATTCCTGCAACCCGTACACACACCCCCCCCCCCCCCCCTCACAATGTCATATCCATCTCAAGACGTTCCATTGACAGGGGGCATGGGTGGCCCAGTCGTCTAAGGCGCCGCGATTCGCTATGCAGAGTTGCGTCCCTTCGGCACGCCAGAAACCTATGATTATGGGTTCGAATTCCGGTTAGCCCCGATTATGTTTCTAGGTTTGTCAGCGCCATACCCGTGCTCGTGGGTTTCACCGAAGTGATAAACGTCTGAGACCTGCATCACTTCAGGCGTTCGGGATGATATAACTGGAATAATGTTAATAGCGGCGTTAAACCCAACTCACTCACTCACTCACATACTCACTCCATGGAGAGGTGTTTCCTCTCAATTCAGAAAATGTACCAACGATGTTGAATTATCAGTTTTGTTTTACGTCGCTTATAGCAATATTTCAGTAATATCACGACAGTGGAAACCAGAGATGGGTTTCAAATATTATACTTTGGGAATCGAACTCTGACCGTCGGCGTGTCGAGCAAACGGTTTCACCACTAGGTAACCTCACTGGCCAGACTTTCAGTACAGTTGCATTATATTTACGATATGAAGTTAGTTGATGATGTCGTTTGCTCTCTTTTTTATCTGTATCTGAGAATTTACTTCATAGATATTTGGAACGAAAAGATGTAAGTACATTTTGGTTTAAAATTGAAAGCTAAATTTACTTACACTTTACCCGAAAATATAATTTCATGAAAAGCGAAAACAAAGTCATCCCACATCCTCAGTACGTCCCCTCTAACCACATCCCCATCCTTCTCCGATTTCACCAAAGTGGTAAACGTCTGTGACCTGCATCACTTCGGGCTTTCCTCCCACATTAAGCTGACACGCCGAGATATAACTGGAATAATGTTCAAAGCGGAGTTAAACCCAACTCACTCACTGCTATATCGTTGAGAGGTCCACGTGGGCCCTAGGTACGACTAGACAACGCTCACCCCGCATGGTTCAGTCCCTTGATCCTTGAATTTGCTGTGTTATGCACAAAGACGACAACACCCAGGTACTTACAAAATGGAAAATATTTATTATGTTGGTAGCAAAATAAATCACATGACATTCAGAGTGGGTGCCGTGATCAAACACAATTCGCACAAGAAGAAAGCACAGGGTTACTTATTTGCTAACTATATTAAGTCACGGCATCTCATACAACTATTATTCGCTGAAAGAAGCAGCCGAGAGCATTTTTATCACATCGGGTTTTTTTCAGGACATGCAGGATGCCCCCCCCCCCCCCCCCCCCCCCACACACACACACACGTCTCCCTACCCTCCCTACAACAAAGCTAACATTCTGTCTACTGTCTATTCATTCACCATGATATTGTTTGACCCAAGTTTTTGCCTCAATACTACTGTATGTATCCCTCTGCCATAAAATTCTCTCATTTGATGTCCATTACTTATAAGCCAATTCTATTCAAACTGGCGAGTTATATAAGATCATGTATGGAAATGTTCCACTGACATGTTTTCTCCTATTGTATCTAATTCCTGTATCCAATTACATCTCTGTATCACTGCCGTGAGTTACGAGAATAAACATCATTCATCCCATGAAATGACTAACCATGTCGGGTGTACCAATGTAATTAAGGTGTTGTAGCTCACTTTATACATCGGAATCGATAAAGATACCTGTAGATCAATGTGCCTCATAGACGCTCACCCAATGTAATAACGGGCACTAGTGGATACAGTCTTTGCCCGGAGAGCGGAAGGTCGGTGGTTCGAACTCCTGGCTGCGTCATACCAAATGACGCGAAAAGATTGTACCTGTTGTTACCCTGCCTGGCGCTCGGCATTAAGGGGATAAAACAAGAACTGGTTGGTTCGGAATCAGTACACTCCGTCTGAGTTGGGCATCCATGTTAAACCGCAGCATGATATATCTCAGTGGACTGGCACTATAAAACCTACATAAGTGTAGACTCGTACAAACAGCATTATACATACGTGCACGTCGGTATATTAGTGCGATAATCTTGAACCCGACGGTAAACCCCATTTCACTTCAACTTGAAAACAATGTGTGTTGCCTAAATTACATATTTAAATTCAGACCGAAAATATAAAAATAGGCCACTTCATACGATTGCTAATAATTTGAACGTTTTGTGGCAATAGGGCAGCACACACACACGCACACACGAACACACACACACACACACACACACACCTTCGTTTATCCGATACATTGCTAATGCTGGCGATTTAAATTTCAATTGAAAAAACCGTTCGGATTAACGGGGTCTCACTGTACACAGCTTGGGCATGGGGGAATTATATTGTGGAAATTTTAAGAAGGTGACAATATGTCAATGAGAGAGCATCTTCAAAAAATAGAAATGCTGATAGGTCTCAAAATGGGTTTACGTAAATTATGACCAATTATCATAAATGGCGTACAAATCTACTGAAGGCTATCAACACAAACAGAAGTAGGTTTGGTAACGCACAAAGAATAGAAAGTGAGCACAATTCAGAACTTCCTCCCGTAGGACCACGTGGTGCTGACGTGGAAGTTTCCGTGAAAGACGATGTCGGATTGGTCCGTTTGAAGATGACGTCACATGTCTCACAGCAGGAACTGGACATGTCCCTGGGGCACATACTGATAATGTTGGCAGCCAGCTGTTGGCACTGACCCGGGTCCCTGTCTCCCCACGGGCAACCTGAGGTGGACAATATAAAGGAATGATAGATCAGTTTTAATCAATATACACACAAGAGTAACATCTTTATCATGTTTCCCTAAAATAAAGGATTTATCTAGACCTGTTTGATATTCCATCACAATGTTTCCAAAAGTCAGTGAAGATTTCCCAAGATTTCCCAAGATTTTCCAACGCGCGTTGTTATACCTTATGTGATGGCTAGGCCGAGATGGTTTGAAATTCAGGACCAATGCAGATAAAGAGGCTCTAATGCCCAATGTTACATGACTGAATTAAATGCTATGTTGGAATACAATGTTACAATTCCTAATTATATTAGGAAAATAAGAACTTTCAAAATACGCAATTTAAAATAAAAGCGATGATAACCTTTCCATGTTCATAAGAAATCTCTAAAAGTACTCGAGTGTACGTTTCCGATTATATCATGCATATACATGTGTTTACAAAATATACGTACACACACATCCCAATTTGCCTGACCCTGAACAATTGACATTCAGGGGCGGGAGGGTACTGGAATTTTATCGACAAAAAAATTATATTGCTTCAGACTGCTAAAAATAAATTGTCTGCCACAAACATGACATTGGTGCAAGGTCTTGTTCTTTTTAAAAAACGTCAGGCTCATAGTTTTAAACAACAAAACATCTGGTTTTGTACCTGCACTTGAAAAATATCTAATCTTGATCAATTGTTTATTGTTTATTTGTTGTTTAAAGCCGCACTCAGCAATATTCCAGCTATATGACGGCGGTCTGTAAAAAATTGAGTCTGTAACACAAATTCCAGTGATTGATATTATGAGCATCGATCCACGCTATTGGTATACGATGACATTCATCAACCAGGTCAGCGAGCCTGACCATCCGATCCCGTTAGTCGCCTTTTACGGCAAGCATGGGTTGCAGAAGAACTATTCTTCCCCGGATCTTCACGGGTCTCTTGATACAATATCGCAGCCCCTCCCCACCCTAGAATATCACATGGTCGGTCCCTTAGTTTGAAATCCTATAAAAATCCCAGTTCCAATATTGAAATATGAGAAATCATTTTACGTGGTTAAGCATTTATTGAAATCCCTTGCATGGTGGCCAATAAGTTGGGGCAGTCATTAATATATTCATTCATCCATTAAGTACCCAAGTCAGGGCTGTCTGAAAGATTTTTTTTAAAAAAGAAAAAGAAAATTGGCGACATAAACTTACTTGGTGCGGACACCGTTTTGACATTCTCGCACGTGCGGCAACATGCGTTGTAGACATCGGTTCGGTAACATTTGTATTTCCCCGCTGACGCAACATAATCTGGGCACGTGATACTCTCGATCTCTGGTTGGTCCCTACATCGGACTTCCGGTGTGGAAGTGAGGCTCGGGTGTGGCGTTGTTGTGGGCGGGGCGTAGTTGCACGTCCCGCAGCAGTCGGTATTGTACAAAGTCCCATCTTTGAACTTGCGGCCGCAGTAATCTGGCTGACAGTCCAACACTCTGTCTCCGTACTCGCACCCTAGGGTGACAAGGCTGAGTTTATAGACATATTCAAGAATGAACTCTCACTTTAAGTCCAAGTCTCTACAATAAGATATATGGTTATTCAACAGGGACATGTCGTGAGACCATAGCAAACAGAATAGTTTGAGCCGATAGTCATTAGACATTATAGCTGATAATATCAGCAATATTCCAGCTATATGACGGCGGTCCGTAAGTAATCGAGTCTAGACCAGACAATCCAGTGATTGATATCATGCGCATCGATATACATAATTGGAAAACGATGACATGCATCAACCAAGTCAGCGGGCCTTACCACCCGATCCCGTTAGTCGCCTTTTACGACAAGCATAGTCGCCTTTTACGGCAAGCATGGGTTGCTGGAGACCTTTTCTACCCCCGATCTTCACGGGTCTGTTTTCAAGGTGATACTTGAGTATTTTTAACTTTTGTTCTGAGTACAGATATACGGTGAGCTGTGACTGCCTGAAATAGCTGTTTGTGTGTGGTGCTGCGTGCCTACCAGACACTTTGGAGTTGATGCCGGCACAGGAGGAACAACAACGTGTCCGGAAGTCCTTCACGTAACAATACCCAGAAGCCTCTGCGACAATCTGTTTACATGTCTTGCCTCCGGACACCACGCCAGTCTGGTCACCGAACGGACATCCAGCTGAAACAGGTTTGTGAGACCGCAAAAGTAAAACCCATTTCAATACTGTTGTAGTGAGTGAGTGAGTGAGTATGGTTTTACGCCGCTTTTAGCAATATTCCAGCAATATCACGGCGGGGAACACCAGAAATGGGCTTCACACATTGTACCCATGTCGGGAATCGAACCCGGGTCTTCGGCGTGACGAGCTAACGCTTTAACCACTAGGCTACCCGACCGCCCCAAATACTGTTGTAGCATATCCCACACAGATGTGAGGCATGCGACCAATACTGCTTATGTTTGGATTGAACCACAATCTTCTCATGCGAAATAGCACGTCTCTAAAGGCTGGCCGTTATGTTTGTCGAACGTTCTGCTTTAGGCATGGCTTAAACTCATGGTACGTTTGATGCAGTTTTCAGGAAAGTGAATGAGTGAGTGAGTGAGTTGGGTTTAACGCCGTTTTTAACACTATTCCAGTTATATCACGGCGTGTCAGCTTAATGCGGGAGGAAATCCCGAAGTGATGCAGGTCGCAGACGTTTACCACTTTGGTGAAACCCACGAGTACGGGTTTGGTGCTGACAAACATAATCGGGACGCAACTCTGCACAGCGAATCGCGGCGCCTTAGACGACTGGGCCACCCATGCTCCCTTTTAAGGAAAGGGTGTAAGGGCGGATCCAGCATTTTTAAAATGGATATCAAAAATATCAAAAATCCTCTTTCAGATAATTTTACTGCGTACTAAATACTACATTTAGTTTTCAAAAGGGAAAGGCGGACCGCTCCCCACCCCCGTCTGGATCCGCCTATGGGGTGTTTCCAGTAGTAGTGCTAAAAGTTGAGAAGTACATTAAAGTTTAAAACCTTAAAATATACTTGGTTTATAATGCTTCGGAAACGGGGGGGGGGGGTGCGCATGCCTGCAAACATTGCTGTAGATCTGCGCAGAAAGGCGGATGGTGGTGCGTGATCCGTTAGACATCCATAACACAACCAGACAAGGATGGCGAGGATATGCTGATGATTTATGATTTTACTGATCCCTTCATCCACCGCCTCATCAGGTCATTCCTCCCACATGTCTACTTACCTGGTCTGTGAGGAGCCTTGACATGACCCACACACCGTCCCTCCACACACCACTGCACATAAAACAGAAGTTGTTCACGCTTTACACCATGTCGGTCCGAACAATACACCATATCAAATATAGAACAAATATGCCCCCAGTAAGCTTTGCTGGTCATAAAAGAGGCGACCAAATGGACGAGTGGTCTGGCCCGGCCACATGGAGGATTGACATCGTATCCGAGGGACGCTGATCATAATATCAATGTCGTGTTTGTCTGGTCTAGATTATTTACAGACCGCCGGCACGATGATGGAACAACAAACAAACAAACAGACAGACCGACAAACTCTATACTGAACTATTGTCATAGAAGAGAAGAGTCGTAAAAGGGCGAAGTGTCAACGTAAAGTTACATTGATCATTAACTGATACAGGCAATACTAACGTTAGCCGTCATTTTCCGCAAATATGGTAAATAGTTGTTTGAGTTTCCGCCTGTCTACGGGATAATTAAAACCATGTGGTGTTAGAATTGATCGCACTGTTGTAGCCTCTGAGCTGGCAATGACTGGGTTAGAATTGGTCTTCAGCAACCCATGCTTGCCGTAAGAGGCGACAACCGGAATCGAGTGGTCAGGCTCGCTGACTTGTTTGATGCATGTCATCGTATCCCAAAAGCGTGGATCGTTGCTCATGATATCAATCACTAGATTGGCTGGCCCAGACCCGCCATATAGATGGAATATTCCTGTATGGCGTTAAACAACGAACAAAAAAATCATCAGAATTCAGAACCATGTGACATATTCCATAAAATATTTGAAGATTTCCCCAACGGGTCCACCTTACGGATTTCAATTCTAGAATAGAGGACAGGTAGAAAAAGGTGAACTGGTAGGTCCGATTAAGATTTTTTGAGCCATTAGCACCTGCGACCTGCAACAATTTAGGACACGCGTGAACAATATGCCGTGAAGTAATTGAAATATTCTTCCAACTGGTGTTTAACCTGCCTACTGTAACACACTATCGTTATGTAAGGCCACCTACCCTCTTGTTCCCGCACGACGTTCCCCTGGCGGCAGAGTGAAGCACGCACTTGTTGGCCGTCTTGGGGTTCCGGCAGAACATAGCGCGGCATATGTCAGTTGCGTCGCCGAAATTTTCACCCTGGCAAATAAACAAATGCTTTCAACAAACACAAATAATTAAATTTGACAGCATATCCTCGATTTTCGATTTTACTCACAGTATGACTTTGTAAGTAAAATGTGTATTCTGTTGAAACTACCAGTGGTGGTTCACAAGAGTACAAATGTATGTTCCCTATTCAGTTTCTTTTCCTTATAGTTCTGAATATGGAAATCTTGTATATTCTCATGGGTGTTGGACTAACGGGATCCAGAATAATGGGTGTCGTATATTCTAACGAGCGTCGAACTAACGGGATCAAGAATAACGGGGTTCGTATATTATATCGAGTGTCGAACTAACGGGGTTCGTATATTCTAACGGGTGTTGTTGGACTAACGGGATCCAGAATAATGGGTTTCGTATATTCTAACGGGTGTTGGACTAACGGGGTTCGTATATTCTATCGAGTGTCGAACAAACGGGATCCAGATTAACAGGGTTCGTATATTATAACGAGTGTCGAACAAACGGGATCCGGAATAACGGGGTTCGTATATTCTAACGAATGTCGAACTAACGGGATCCAGAATAACGGGGTTCGTATATTCTAACGAGTGTCGAACAAGTGTTGGACTAACGGGATCAAGAATAACGGGGTTCGTATATTGTAACGAGTGTTGGACTAACGGGATCAAGAATAACGGGGTTCGTATATTCTAACGAATGTCGAACTAACGGGATCCAGAATAACAGGGTTCGGACTAAGGAGAATCGGACAAAAAGTTACGGACTAGCGTGATTTCAGGATACTTGAACATGCCGTACCCTGCAGAGGTATGAGGTAGGTCCGTATATGTGTCTGCACTGCTCGTCAGGCCCCAGCAGCTGCCCCGCCATCTCCCCCGTGATGTTGGGCACACCGACAGGGGTCAGCTTAGACCGGAAACACGTCGACTCCTTACTGAAAACAGAAATGCTTATGTCATTTAATGTTATGAAGAATAAAGAAATTGCTTTCCATAAACGTTGCAAGTCTCTATGTAATTTGTATATTTAATTTTTTTACCTTTTTTTAAAGTATCGTTATAAAAAAAATTTAAGTTATATATTTTAGATATCATAGGATGTGAATGTTGATATAATTTTTGTTTTGCTGGAATGTTCATAACGAGAAAAAAGTATTTGACATTTGGATAGCATCTTGAACATTGTGGAAGATTTAATAGATTTGTAAAAAATAATGTTGTTTAGTCAAAACAATTATAAGCCCATCCACGTCCACATATGAATCAGGAACTTGTCAGGTAGTCTGTATCTAGACATCAGTCATGTAATACGCATAATTCCGTCACAATGTCCATGTTGAGTTATATATTTCACGTGGTGTTTAATTGACAGACAGCTATCACGTTTGATTGGCATATCTGCGTTTTCCTTGCACATAGTTCCCGACAAGCACGCCATGTCATTGTACGTTAGTGCACACGACCTACACGTTGTTAATGACGCCGTCGATGTACACTTTGAAGTAGTTGATGCTGCACGGGGAAAACCTCCACGGATTATATTTATTGGCGGACGTTTCGTTGTAAGACGCCCCGGCCATGATGTATCTATCCGCCGGTGTGCAGGTGTTGTTGAGTCCGTCGTGTTCGGCACCGAGACTGCAGATAACAAATTGTTGTAATGTAGTAATGTAATATTCTGAGGTTGGCTGGAATTGTTTTAAAAAAATAATTTGCCTCAGGTTTAACACATACAAAATAAACTTTTCGCGCGTAACGCTGTGAATAGAATGTTTGGTTCCTCCCTTGACAGAGTAACATTGTATGCCTTGAAGAAGTAGCCGAAAGAATATCCTGCCTCTCTTAGGCACCGAACCATTTCATATGCTGGGGTTGGGTTGGAATTTTATCCAATAGAATACATTGTCCCAGAAAATGATTGAAAAAAAAAAATTCTGATTTGGACTATTGGAAAAAAATGCCCGCCACATAAATTGCATTGTTGCAAGGTGGGTTTTCTTTTTATTAAAAACACACAATTATTTAGGTTCATATATATCTGGTTTTGCAATATACGAAAATTAAATGTACGGTCCCTAATAAAAAATCAAACCAGCATATTAAACAGTTGGTCAAATGAAATCCTGACATTAAGGACTTAAGATAGAGTGAGTTGGGTTTAACGCCACTGCGAACAATATTCCAGTTATATCACGGCGAGTCAGCTTGATGTGGGAGGAAAGCCTGAAGTGATGCAGATCTCAGACGTTTACCGCTTTGATGAAATCAGCATACACTGTATGGAGCTGACAAACCTAGAAATGTAATCGGGGCAAACCGGGATTCGAACCCATAATCATAGGTTGCTGCGTCCCCAAAGAGATGCAGCTCTGTACAGCGAATTAGACGACTAGGACACCCGTACCCCATTTAAGACAGAGCAATCATAATCTATATCCACTTTGAACAATAAAAAGCAAAATTACCCTCACCTAATAAATTTAACTCTGAATGATCTTACTAAGCTTTAACAAAATGAGTTATTTTTAGATGATACCCGTGAAGATCCGGGGTTAGAATAGGTCTTTTGCATCCCATGTTTGCCATAAAAGGCGACTATACTTGTCGTAAGGGCGACTAACGGGATCGGGTGGTCAGGCTAGCTGACTTGGTTGATGCATGGCTTCGTATCCCAATTACGTGGATCGATGCTCATGATATCAATCACTGGATTGTCTGGTCCAGACTCGATTATTTACAGACCGCCGTCATACAGCTGGAATATTGCTGAGTGCGGCGTTGAACAACAAACAAACAAACAAGTTTTCGATGAAATGTGCGCCATTGCCATATATCCACAGAACTGACCTATGCCCTAGCTCGTGAGCCGCGGTGCCAACACTTTGGAACCCCCCATGGTCCTCGACGACAGAAACACTTCGACCTTCACCTTGACACATGGTTCCAATAAATGCCAAACCTAAGGAACAAATGTTCAGATGTATTAATGCTTATAGCTATTTTGTTTTACGAAACTTTAGAAAGCAACACATGACATCAATATGATAGTAATAAAACAAAAGCAAACATGTATATTGTAGCTCATTTGACATTCAAACACACTACCCTTGAGTTACACACACATTCCAGACACCGATGCTGAATTTACTTACACTTCTGAAGCTAGACAGATAATGTCTAGTTCACATAATACTCATCACCATTTTGCCTTTTACGCCCAATGGAATCTATTTTAGTAGATAATCGTGACTGATTGTTCTCCGGCGTGGACGTTTTACATATATAAGGTGAGGACACTTCCGAAAAATTAAAAAATTTAAACAAGTAAATTATTGTCTCGACAGTTCAGTTCTTACCTGTGGTATAGTTCGAGCTGAAGCCGCTGTCCTCTCCGAACAGGTCATACCTGCAATACAGAAATTATTGTCAATTTTGAACATTTCATAAATTCATATATACCTGAAGACAAAACAACGCTTGTCATTCATATTTATAGAGGCTACTAATTAATTTTAATTACGACAATACCCCTAAGAAAATAATAATTAATTTACCGTTGTATATTTTGAAAATTCATCCAAATGTTATAACCCATTGAACTATGATACACAACTGGACCATGAAGTCATCACCAAAACCTTTCTTGCAACATGGCGCAATCTCATTAAAATCATATCTAAGTTCTCGCTGCACGTCAGAACGACCTTTCGCGAACTTTGACCGATCACTGAAATTACTAACAAGAAGTCGACATCAGCCAATTAGAAAGCAGCTTTCTCGAGCTTTACGGCACTCGTTTCAACCTGGCGACTCCCATTTCAGACTACGCTTGAAAAATATGTTGACACAGTTCTCGATTAAACTTTTGAAAAATGAACAAAAGAACATTCTGGAATGTCTAATATATGGTTGTCATTGTATTGCAGTGCTTCCCACGTACTGTGCATAGACGATAATTTTGACGGAATCAGTCGTATGGGCCGTAACAGTTGTTCGGCACACCCCGTGTTAACTTTTTCGAGGTTGCATGATTAGAAAACACATTCCGACTGTCACTTTCATGATCTGGTGGGGGAACGGGTGGCCCAGTCGTCTATGGCGCCGCGATTCGCTGTGCAGAGTTGCCTCCCTTTGGGCATGCCAGAAACCTATGATCGTGGGTTCGAATCCCGGTTCGCCCCAATTATAGTTCTCGGTTTGTCAGCACCATACCCGTGCTCGTGGGTTTCACCGAAGTGGTAAACGTCTGAGACCTGCATCACTTCGGGCTTTCCTCCCACATTAACCTGACACGCCGTGATATAACTTGAATACTGTTAAAAGCGGCGTTAAACCCAACTCACTCACTCACTCACTTCATGATCTGGTAAGCGACGCTTTGATTGGTCGGATGAAAGGGTGTTCTGACGTGACCCTTAATGGGATGTCCTCAAATCTTTGTTTAATGAGATTGAACATGGCGTTGACTGATTTGAATTGGTGAAACTTGTTTCAATTGTGTAAGGATCAGAGAATACAGTTTGACATATACACTACTCTAACGAAGTTAAAGCACTCTCAATTCTTTCACATATTACAATGTGTAATGTGCATGGCATTACAGATTAACTATAGTGATGTGAAACAATCGCTGTTCATCAGGTGAGGTGAAATGGTGTCCAAGATTATTGCACTTATATAGCGAAGTGCATGCACGTGTGTGTGTGCGTACCAGTCCGGACTGACAGTTTATCCTGCTAGCCCTCTGAGATACCATGCCGCAGTTTACCATGAATACCCAACTCAGACACAGTATACTGGCTCCTAGCCGACCAGTCCTTGTTTTTGGACTTTATTGTCGGTGCCATAAGGGGTAACAAGTACCATCTTTAACGTGTTTTTGTATGACGCGGCAGGGGATCAAACCCCGGACATTCCTCTCTCCGGGCTGACGCTCTACCACTAGACCACGGAGGCGGTCCGGTGTTTATTAATTTCTTTTGAGCAGTACATATCAACAGAACCCTCAGAAAGTATATAAATAGGATATATCGAGGTAATTATGGAACCACACAGTTACCCAGTAAACAGAATGACGTGGTCGTGGCGGGGCATGTTGGGGACGGTGGTGACCCACGTCTTCAGTGACTCGAGAACGTCGTCAGCATTTACATGTTCACGACCGTTCCTGAACGTCTTCGTCTTCTCCGTCCACGGCGAGGCTACTCCTGTCTGGGGTACATGAACGGATGTGTTAGTCAGACAATTGGGGTTTCGCAGTAACAAAAGTTCTGCCTACAACGAGAACCTGTAATGCAACAGACCCGGGACCCGTGTTACAAAGCGATCGTTCGTTTGTTTATTTGTTGTTTAACGCCTCACTCAGCAATATTCCAGCTATATGATGGCGGTCTGTAAATAATCGAGTCTGGACTAGACAATAAAGTGATTGACATCATGAGCATCGATCCACGCAATTGGGAAACGATGACATGCATCAACCAAGTCAGCGAGCCTGACCACCCGATCCCGTTATGCGCCTTTTACGCCTCTTATGGTAAGCATGGGTTGCTGAAGACCTATTCTATACCCGGATCTTCCCGGGTCACAAAGCGATTGTAGCGCTACGACTTTTGTAAGTCAATGTTACTGCTGCAATCTCTTTGTGAACGGACCCCAGCTATGGGCATCAGTAAGAGTAACGATCGGAGTATGATACTATACAAATTCGGCTAGGTTACACTTTTCATATCTGCTATGTGTTTAAGGACAATCCATAACTTGACGGCCAGATGGGATTTGCTCCAAATACATTCCAGGAGAATACCTTCAAATAACCACGGTTAATAAAGTAATTCTAGGATTAAAGAATAGGCTCCGTTACAATTATTATTATTTTTCGTTATGCGTAACAGCTTTTAAACAACATTTAACAGGCGATTATTTTTACAGAATATGCAACAACTGCAACTCATCTTCTTGCTTCAGGGGTGCATTACGTACCTGGGCGATGACGTAGCCTATAAGCCTGACGTTGATCCTGAAATCCACGTCCTCCATTGTCTTGTAGCGGAGGTTAACCTGTCAATCATATCGTTCATGATATAGGTAATGAAATAAAATAACTGCGGCATATTATCACTTTATGTCTGTCTATCATGTTCTTATGTGTTGTCAGTATTTATTATTCGTTGTGTTATACAGCAGTTGATGGGTGACCAAGCGATCACAGACGCCGGAAGTCACTGTCCAGGATAGGCTAGTCATACACTCCAGTTTCAGATTAGGTTTTCACCCAAGTTGTTCAGTGGAACAGGCTCGTTTCCCACATTAAGCTGACAGGCAACGAAATAAGTGTAATGCTTTGCAAAGCACCGAGGTACTCTCTATCAATCACACTGACGTGTTTCCCCTCGAAACATCCACAAAATGTGGACAGCTACACTTAAGATAGATATCATTTTGTGTAAGACATTAACACCAGACATGTATAGAAATTATTTTTATATTTATTTCAATGTTTAATATTTACACTATTGTCAGATGCCTACATATATGTTTATGGAAAGGGCTTTGTAAGTTCGACAACCTTTGCCCAATCTATCTGACTTTTAATGTCAATACAGTATGTTTAAAAACGCATTGAATCTTCCACCCAGAAAAGGGGCAGTCGGGTAGCCTAGTGGTTAAAGCGTTCGCTCGTCACGCCGAAGACCCGGGTTCGATTCCCGACAATGGGTACTATGTGTGAAGCCCATTTTTGGTGTCCCCCGCCGTGATATTGCTGGAATATTGCTAAAAGCGGCGTAAAACCATACTCACTCACTCACTCCACCCAGAAAACCGACGAAATTTATGACCGATGTTCGGTACATACACTTCCTACATATTGATTTAACAAAGGTCGTGTTATCGTAGAGTGGTTTATTTAAACCTAAACTTCATCAGAGGTGTTAGGATTTCATGTCAGAAAACTAGAGCTCCATGTTTGATGATATCGAGTTGTGGTGTGAGCACGCTACGATCACGACCACTGACTACACAACGAAGTTGATTGTTCCGGACGGTGAAAATTATGCCGAACATTGAAACAAACGTGTTGAGTTTCTAATGTATCTCAGTATCTCATGCGAGACTGGGAGCTATGCACATCTGCCAGTTGCTGACAAAGTTTATTTTACGTGTACTGACTGCGTGGAAGACGAGTGTCATGCATTGTGGCAGTGCCCTAACTATACTGATGTGAGGGAACCGCCAAATCTTATATGTATTGAGTGAGTGAGTGTGGGTTTACGTCGCTTTAATTATTGTTTCAGCAATATCGCGGCGGGGGACACCAGAAATGGGCATCACACATTGTACCCAACTGGGGAATCGAACCCGGGCCATCGGCGGGACGAGCGCAGACACTTAGCACAAGGCTACCCAACCACCCCGAAATGTTTTGAGAGTTTGGAACATTTTAGTGCCTCTACTGGTTGTCAGAAAGTATGTTATATTCTCTCCAGCCCTTTTGTAATGGGATTATGTGTCAAAACCTGCAAGACTATTCTAGAAAAGAGATAAAAACAAAACGCTACACAAATATCTGTATGCGTGGGTTTTTTTGTTGAAAAGTATGTGTTTTAGCTTTTGGTATGATTGTTTTTATCTGTTTCTTAAAATGTATGTATTAGAATGTGTCCGTGGTTGCATAAAAGGACTGTAGTATATTATCTGTCTGTATGTCTTTGTTTGTTTGTTTGTTTGTTTGTTGTTTAACGCCGCACTAAGAAATATGACGGCGGTCTGTCAATAATCGAGCCTGGACCATATGATCCAGTGATTGACATCATGAGCATCTATCCACGCAATTGGATTCTGACCCGGATCTTCACGGGTCCTGTCTGCCCGTGTAATAATTTAGATTGTGATATATATTTACGTATTACTCGATAATTAAGAACAGTGAGAAAATAGTTTAACACTGGTAAGGAACCTTAATCTATTAATCATTAACTTAATTACTCACCCCGTTAATGACATGCGCGAAGTACCGGCGTATGTTTGCCAGTGCATTGTCAGGAATGTTGTTACTTTGTGTGACCCACCTGCAAAACGGGAAAACAGAAAATATTTTTAGAGAAAATCAACAAATTCAGCTTCGAAATTTGTTAGGGAAACTACACAAATCTTTGAAAAATCCGATCACCAAACAGCGCGGAAGGTAAAAAATGTTGGGTTTTTTTCACAAATTCCCAACACGATGAACAGCACATACAGTCAACGTTCTGTTGAATACAAAGCAAACAGCGTCGCCATTTCGCTACATCACGTGAATTCCGTGACATATCCAATAAGTAGATATTCAAACACCACGTGTGCTGACAACGTTATAATCACATTTTTTGCATGAAAATAATTCAAAGTTTGTCGCTCATACGTTTTTGGAAACTATTGAAAGAAAAGTGTGTGTGTGTGTGTGTGTGTGTGTGTGTGTGTGTGGGCGTGCTTACTGGCGGCAAACCACGAGAGAGTAACGTTTTGTTGTCCTATACAATCTTTTAAGAGGTGATTAAGAACCCATTTCATAAGCCTTCGAACATATGTTTTGTCTGTTTGAAACAAAGAATGGAATATTCAAAAGAACTATAATAAATTGGAACATTGAATGAGTTCATTCCTGATAAATCATCTATCATTTTTAACTGAGAATGTGAATTAACAAAGACAAATATAGTGATCTTTAGCAGGTCATTAATTTATATCAGTTCACTAATCATCTCCTATCAATCATTATATTTTTTACTAAAGTAAAATGTCAACAGTTATCGGAAGCGTGATTAATTACATAAACTATAATTATGTTTGTCTACTGGGGTTAAGCCTACCCCCGATATATAGCGAAATCAACAACCACCACACAATCCACGTAGTAGTCGGATATTGCTGCACGTGAAGTCCGTGCATTGCGGGGCGGCGCACGTGCATCTGATGTTGACGTCTCGCGTCGCGTGCGGTGTATATCTGCAAATATGACACAACAGTGAGGTCCGGAGACACAGCCATATACAAAAATCTTGTTTAAGGGCAATTTTGTTAAAACTTTCAGTTTTTTATGAAACTACAAAATTAGTATATATTCATTTACCTTTTATTTGATCTATAACCTCCTCTGGTGCCAGCGTTAAGCTGTACGTGTGATGTTTGTCGTCATTGGTATATGTGGCGTCCCTCCTTCCCCGGAAGCCAACGTGGACTTTCTTTAACATGTATTTTTTACCGTCAAGGTACAATGTTCCTTCCTAAAAATAACATTGTTAACATAGTTAAGATCTCTATGTACGTCATACCTCTAGTAATATATTTAAAAATAAAAAATTACATGCAAATATTTTGAGCTATTCAAAGAGCTACGAGGGACAGACCACATTGTCTCTCATTACAATGATGCACAGCGATTAAAACAGACTGATAATTAATGATGTTTTTCGTTTTCTTTATGGTGGGAGCTCTTCTGTACCTAATCCATACAAACTACTGATGTTTTACGGTGAGGTAAATGAGGTTAACGTCGCGTTCAAGATTCTTGTGCTTTTCTGTGCATGTGTGTGTGTGCGTGCGTGCGTGCGTGTGATTGTCAATAGTAATGTCGGTTTTATTGCGCTAGCCGACTGAGATACCATGCCGGTGTTTCACATGAATACCCCACTCAGACATAGTATACTGACTCCGAGCCGACCAGTCCTTGTTTTAGCCCCTCAATGCCGAGCGCCAGACAGAGTAACAACAAGTACCATCTTTTAACGTGTTTGGGTATGACGCGGCCGGGGATCGAACCGACGACCTCTCCGGGCAGACGCTCTATCCACTTCACCGCGGAGGTGAAATAACTCAGATCTTATTTCAGAAAAATAATGGATAGTCAAGGAGAGCGCCTAGATGTATCATTTGACACGAGTGTTAGTCTCCGGCAAATTCCTTATCAACAGTATGGTCTAATCACGACGCTCCACTTGTTGGGAACTATGGAGGACCGACTTACCAGATCGAATGACGGTGCCAGCCCGTCCCAACCGGCACATTGAACCAACATGGCCGCCCCGTAACTGATGTCCTGGTACGCTGCGAAACTCTTCGTTGGGACGAATAAAATGGAATTATAGCTAAATAGATACAATATAGATGCAAAGATAACCTTATTATCATTATTATAAATTGTCATTAAGATACTCAATGAGGGGTATTTAACAGTGTCACCACTATTTCAGCCATATCACTGAGACCTGTGACCCGTGAAAATCGGGGATAGAATAGGTCTTCACCAACCCATGCTTGCCGTAAAAGGCGACTATGCTTGTCGTAAGAGGCGACTAACGGGATCGGGTGGTCAGGCTCGCTGACTTGGTTGATTCATGTCATCGATCCCAATTGCGTAGATCGATGCTCATGTTGTCAATCCCTGGATTGTCTGGTCCAGACTCCATTATTTACAGACCGCCGTCATATAGCTGGAATATTGCTGAGTGCAAACACTGCGACCTGCAAATAGTCTCGTGTAGGCCAGACAAACCAGTGATTGAAAACATGAGCAAATATCAACGCCGGTTTGGTAAGATGATCAGCAATCAATCAAGTCACCTAGCCAATCCAATCCCTTGAGTCACATTGTACGACAAGCATGTTTGATTGTTGTTTAACGCCGCATTCAGCAATATTCAAGCTATATGACGGCGGTCTGTAAATAATATAATCTGGACCAGACAATGCAGTAATTAACATCATCAGCATCGATCTACGCAATTGGGATGCGATGATATGCATCAACCAATTCGGTGAGCCTGACAACCCGTTACGACAAGCTTAGGTTGCTGAAGACCAATTCTAACCCGGATCTTCACGGGGTTTATCACACGTGGGTCTGTTCTTCCTCGGAATCAATACGAGAACACTTCAACTCTTCTTAAAGAAATATTAAAAAGTACTTAAAAGTTTAAATAATATACTGAGCGACTGCAGCTGTGGCGTCACAGCATCGCAATGTATATTATCCCCTTGATGCAAGAGGATGCGTCAATACTTGGAACATACTCACATTGTAAGCACGTGATGGGCGGTACACTTTGACGTAATATTTCCCGTCTGACGTCAAATCCGAAATATACAGCGGCACGTGTGTGTCTATTTCATTGTTTATATGAAGGTGAAGGTTGATGGAATTATTTCCATCTTTTATAACTATTTGCAACGTTTTCGGAAAGATACATCCAACTTCATTCGTGTAGTGTGATCCCCGCTGTCGGATGTTGAAGTAGACTTGCACGTGTCCATCTGCAAAGAAAATGATGATGACATACCATTTCTTTTTTCACAGAATATATTCTCACAGACATAAGCTGTGATCAAATATATATATTACTCAACTTTTGCTAAGGACCAAACTTTTGCCTAAAGATGATTCATTGGTTCTGAGCAAATTTTGAGTAGTATACTAATGATATCGTGAAATGAATAATTAACTTCAACACGCAGCGTGGAATCAGAGCCCTCTGTTGGGACAAGCGGAAGGCTTAATCGGTCGACCATTTGATATTCTGAGGTGGGGTCTGGAGTGTTTTTGAAAAATTGAAAAATATAATCTGTCCCCGAAAATGTTGGAAAAATATGTGTTCTCAGGTTCCCCCAAAGGTAAAGTGTTCACTGGGAGAGCTAGATGTTCTTAAAAATTTACTTGTGGTTAATATAACTTTTATGTACTCATTTGAGAGAAAACATATTCAGTCTCTATAAAAATCCAAGGGCCCGTCAAAATATTATGTCATATCTGTTGTGAGACACAATATTGTGTAATTAATTGACGATATTTCGTGATTTTATATCAAGTGGTGAGGACTACAGGCTATCCACTCTCCGAGAAAACACTGTGTTGTGAAAAGAGACAGGGTAGTTTTTCAGCGGTCACTGAATATTTCTTTTTCTTCTAAAACTTAACATAGATGACAATACTTGTCCCTCTTTGAGACAGTGATTGGTAACATGAGCACACTGTCAGAAAACGTGCTCACTGAACCTCACTTGTGATGTGAAGTGCGACCCGTGAAGGTCCGGGGTAGAAAAGGTCTTCAGCAAACCGTACTTGCCGTAAAAGGCGACTGCGCTTGTCGTAAGAGGCGACTAACGGGATCTGGTGGTCAGGCTCGCTGACTTGGTTGATGCATGTCATCGTTTCCCAATTGCGTGGATCGATGCTCATGATGTCAATCACTGGATTGTCTGCTCCAGATTCGATTATTTACAGGCCGCCGTCATATAGCTGGAATATTGCTGAGTGCGGCGTTAAACAACAAACAAAAACATATCTTGGTGTGAAGTGCATCGTGTTGGTAGCCCACGTTATGAAAGTAGGTAAGCGCACCCCACCCCTCCCCACCCCACCCCACCCCACCCCACCCCTGAGGGGGATGTACGTCGCTAACCTACAGGCATACGCAATGTGGAATGAAGCGATTTGGAACAATTTACAGGAATATATTCTTTTGTTCTCATATATACAAGTAGTTAGGTGATGTGAAATGAGGTTTAACGCCGTTCAGAATTATTACACTTATATAGCGACCTTGACATACAGTGATACTGTGAATAGGTTCATATTTTATTTTAATCAAATAATTCACATTTATGTCAACATTTAAAGCACAGAGGACGTGTTGTGTCTCAAACACGCAAGCCAGGAGACTATGGAACGTTTGTCGTGTTTTAGGTCCGAGGTCAGGTCAAAGATCAGGTCGGCCCTTCAGGGAAGTTCTCCTTAATCTCCGTGTAATGACCTGGACATGTAATGTCCTTGAGATTTATAATGGGAATTAATATAAAAATCGCCGTGGCTTACATATGTTGTGTCTGGCCATCACATCTACTTGCTCATTCAATAGACTCCTTGGAGGCATTCCAGACACCAGCAATATATAAAGTGAGATGAAATGTGGTTTAACGTCGCGTCCAAGATTATTGCACTTATATAGCGACGTGCATGCAATGCAGGTGTGTGTGTGTGTGTGTGTGTGTGTGTGTGTGTGTGTGTGTGTGTGTGTGTGTGTGCTAGTCCAACTTATGATGGTTTTATAGTGCTAGCCTACTGAGATACCATGCTGCAGTTAAACATGAATACCCCACTCAGATACACTATACTGACTCCGAGCCAGTATTTGTTTTAGCCCCTCAATGCCGAGCGCCAGACAGGGTAACAAGGAGTATGATCTTTCATGTAACGCCCTGAAAAAAGTGGTTTAAACAATTCATAATCAGGATTATTATTATGTCGAATCAATTAATAGTTTTGTCAGTATGTTTCTTTGTTGTTTAACGCCGCACTCAGCAATATTCCAGCCATATGACGGCGGTCTGTAAATAATCCAGTCTGGACCAGACAATCCAATGATAACCATCGTGAGCATCAGTCTAGGCAATTGGGATACGATGACATGCATCAACCAAGTCAGCGAGCCTGACCTCCCGATCCCGTTAGTCGCTATGTTCGACAAGTATGGCTTGCTGAAGACCAATTCTAACCCGAAGCATTTCCTGAGAATGCTAAGACTTAGTGAGTTTGATGTGTCAGAATGGTCCGTCGATTGAACGATATTCTATATGTTACTAATACAAGAGATGACACGTGTATCCTGACTTTTTTTGCAGCTATTATTAAGACCTATGCCATCATCCCAAACGGGCAAAAAATGCTTTTACTGATCACCAACGAGTTGTGTTTTTCTTTCCAATCATGGGTGTGACATTGAATGTCACAGTGCAAAAATGTCTAGTTTTATCATGCCGCATTGTAAATAACCGAGGATGTGACTAAACCGGCGACTGAACGCAAGAACACCCCACCCCAACACCAATATCAGTGTGAGTGAGTGAGTGAGTTGGGTTTAACGCCGATTTTAACATTATTCCAGTTATATCACGGCGTGTCAGCTTAATGTGGGAGGAAAGCCCGAAGTGATGTAGGTCTCAGACGTTTACCACTTTGGTGAAACCCACGAGCACAGGTATGGTGCTGACAAACCTAGAAACATAATCGGGGCGAACCGGGATTCGAACCCATAATGATAGGTTTCTGGCGTGCCCAAGGGACGCAACTCTGCACAGCGAATCGCGGCGCCTTAGACGATTGGACCACCCGTGCCCTCCAATAGCAGTGTAATTACTTAAGCGTGTAAGTGATTATTGTTACAGACAAACCAGTGGCTGGTTGCATGAGCACGGTATCAGGATGCGCTGAGGCAATCAACCGAGTTACACATTGTTACCATTCAACTATTAGTCAGTCCCTACCACAAGTATAAGGTACGTGTCGTGTCTCGAAAACCCTACGACATCATATACCAGCTCTGTATCACTATATAGTATATAAAGTATAGACTATGAACATATATACGTGCATAAAAAACAGCACCGAAATGCTCATCGTTAAACAATTTAAAAGCATGTGTTCACTGTTTCCTTTTGGTACCTTTACTTTTATTACTCGATAACAACAATCAGTGGTCCATGAGTTATACAAAAATACGAATAACAAACAATACAGTATTAGATGTACGGTAAGATGGCATATATGGTAGAATCTGGAAAATTATGGCTGTGTTAAGATCGCTGCAGCCAAGCCTGAGACGGGAGTGTATAACCTGACAGAATCTTGATCCATAATTTACAAAAAAGCATATTCCATTTTTATCATTGCTTTTTATAAAACTCTTTTAAACTTCCTAAACTACTGTCATAAGTGTATTCAATAGGTAGTTCCAAATATTAGGTGGATCTGGAATAAAGTATTTGGCATAATTATTTGTTTTACACTTAATGTTTTGCAATTGTGAGCAGTTTCTCAAATAATCACCTGCATCCGACACTCTATTTGGAACTAAAGATGAGAGATAATCCCATACTAGATTGTTAACCATTTTATAAAAGATATTTCCAGATTTATATCCGGCAGCCGAGATGTTGATGTGGCTATCACGCGGAAGATGCACTTCATTTCTTTCTTACGTGTCCCTTAAACAGTACATTAAGGCAGCAAAATGTGTATTATTTCGTAAAAGGCTACGATCTAAATTCAATTTTAAATGGTAATTCACATATGCATTTAACGACTGAAACAAATCTTAAAATTTTGAAATCAGTGCACAGTTTTACTCTATCTTCTTGGCGATTTAGAGATTTTGTCTGTGTTTTTTTAATGTTGGCTTTGCTATATAATCCTGCGATGCTGTTGTGCTGGGTGTAAATAATAACGTAGCTGTAGTTACAAAAGATAATCCAGTAATAAAACACTTACAGAACAATAATTATCTTTAATGTCAATTATATAATGTGTGCATTTTCTCATGTCATTTACGCAATACATGTAACATATCTATCATGTTTGGGAGAGGCATTCAGATTTGCTTGCTTGCCAATCCCTCCTCTTGATGGAAAACTTGATGGAAAAAAATATGTTTATATAATATTGTAGAATATGTCACAGTATAGCATCCAAATGTCTGAGAAACTTTCACAGTTTTTTTTAAAAGTAGATACTTTACCATTTGTGAACAGTTTACGATATTTAATCATGTTTGGCCATTTTGTGTAGTATTCACTAATACATTCAGTGCGTAAGGTTAAAAGGTTCTACGCAGAATGACGTCGTTATGTCAGATGTGAGGAATGAACCATCGCCGCGTTCCTGTTATATTCATATTCTAGATATTTCCGCAATGGTTATTTTCCCAGGATCGTGACGTGCAGCTTTTACAGCTCTGCGGTTCACTCAGTATGCATACACATGCATAGCCCGTGGTCACATTTTGACATACATGACAGATGTAATGGCTTAATCAGACGCTAACTATATCCCGTTAGTACCTTTTTGTCAACTACTTGCTCTGCTGTAATCAATCAAACACCTCTCCTGTGGCGAATCGCTTTCAGTCATACTTAACTATGACTATAAATTAGTGTGTAGGGGGCAATTAGTCAATAATGAAATGGCCCCGGTTATCCAGGTCGTTAGCCACAACGTTATAGTAATTATGTTATATGTGTCTGGGACATCGAGAACCACGTCACGATAACTCTATATAACCATGAATTGGAAACTGTTTAGAATGTAATTCAGTAAATGAAGTAACCTTAGAAACGGCGTATGAATAAATAACTTATTCAAGTGCCCCATTTATCATACAGTTGAAAATTATTTGCGACCAATTTCTCCACACACATACTCGGAAAAAATGGAAAGAGAGAGAGAGAGGGGGGGAGAGAGAGCGAGAGAGGGAGAGAGAGAG